GTTTGGTTCTGTCTATGAAATTGCTATAATTGTTATCTCTTACATGCTCCACTACAAGTGCAAGTATACATGCAGCACTTATTTATTCATATGTGCAAAAATCCACAGCCATACCAACATATCATGCAGGGGTAGTATCATACAAACTTTTGTGTCTACTTAATATACACATCTACTTAGATATTCAAACACAAATTGTTGTTTTTTACTACTGTTTCAAGATCATATATGGTATAATATTAACTGTTACTGTTCTTTATCCACTTGTACTTTTTAGTGTCTTCCTTTGTACTGGTTTATGTTGTGCTGACTTTCCTCATATTGTATATTGTCAGTCATTCCTTTTACCAGAATTAATAGGTGCCTACTTTTCAGCTTCTGGTATTTCCCTGTCAATTTACTGTTCTAACCTTTTTTTTTTTTAATAAATTAACCCATTTTTTACAGGCTAGAGATGCTGCAAATGGGGGAGCTTCTACTGGTCTTTCAGTTCCTTGAGTCTTTTGATGTCAGGCTCCACTATGACGGCGGAGGTGGTGGTGTAGGTTCAGGCTCCATCAGCTACTACTGTCTTCATGCAAGAACCACGGGGCCAGATGCCAGCAGCTCATCTCTTCATTTTGGTTTTGCCTCAGGAAGAGCAAGTGTACTTGGCATGCTGGACAATTTCCATTTTCTTTACCTTCTTCCTGGGTGAGGCACCATAACAGATCCCATATTTAAATGACAATGCCGACTTTCTTGTTCGGTGGAGCCTTTGTGCCACAAACCAGCACCAAACCCAGAGAGCTGTTCTAGACATTTTTAAGTGATCTTCAATAATATTTTGCTTCCGTGAGAAAGTAATGATATTGTTTGATAATTTACACATTCTGTTGGATAACCTTTCTTGGGAATGGAGACAAATATAGTTCTTTTCCAGTCAGTTGGCCAAATAGCTGTTCTCGAATTTTTCTTGAGTAATCTGGTGAGCACATCCAGGGCTGCATTCGTTAACTGAAATATGTCAATTTGTATTCCATCGATTCCTGGGACCATATTACTTTGCTAATGCCTTCAGTGTTTTTTCTCTGTTGGTATGGAAAGTCTTTGGGTCCTATCAGGCTCGCTGGACGCTTCTTGCAGGAGTGGCATCCACTTCCAAAATAGCTTGCCTCTGGAAACACTATGGACTTGGAGAAACAATGAAAGTTTTACAATTGTTCAGGTCTTTCATTCATAGGGTCGCTATGAGTCATCTACGACTCAATGGCACTTAACAACAATGCCTTCCGTGTAGCTTAAATGTCATCATTCATTACTATTGGCTCTTGTTCATATGGTACTTTCTGAAATTTTTCAGTGTCAGACAATCTTTCTGGTATAGTGATTCAGTGTGTATTCCTTCCATCTCCTTGGGTGATTCCTGGATCATTCAAGATTGTGTCCTTAGTATGTCTTAGTATTGCAACTCAAGGCTTGAATTTGTTTTTCTGTTCTTTCAGTTTGAAAAATGCCTATCAAGTTCTAAGATGTGTCCATGGGCTTCTCAATCACATGCGATGCATCAGAGAGCTGGACAATGAATAAACCTCCTTTGGAAGAAGTATAGCCAGAATGCTTCTTAGAAGCAAGGATGGCAGGACTTCATCTCATGTGCTTTGGACATATTATTAGAAGAGACAAGTCCTCAGAAAAGGGCATTATGCTTCTTAAAGTAGTGGGTCACAACTTCAACAAGTAGTGCTGGCGAACCTGGCCTGCTACCTGCAGAGAGCTGAAGCAAGTGCCACACCTCTCACCATACACTAAAATCAACTCAAGGGGTAAAGTCCAAAACCACAAAGATCATAAAAGACAAAGTGAGGTTAGGCTTAGATGGCCTCACATGTGGTATAAAAGGCTAATAAACATAGCCAGAAATACATAACCAAGAGAGGATAGGATTGATGAATAAGATCTTCTAAAGATTAAATCCCTGTGTGTGTAAAAAAACTTTTCCCAATAGAGTGAAAAGAAAACCTACTGACTGGGGAAAAAAATTTTGGCAATATCATCTCAAACAAGGGTTTCATTTACAGAATCCTACAGTATCTCTACAAGAAAAAGAATAATAATCCAATTACAAAATAGGCGAAAGACTTATCACAAAGGAAGGTATTCAGATAGCCAAGAAACACATGAAGAAATGTTCAAAATCAATGGTAAAAAAAAAAGATGCAAATAAAAATCACAATGAGATAATGAGATATCATCTCCCCCAAATAACAGTGGCAAAGTTTAACAAGACAGGGAGCAATAAATGTTGGAGAGAATGTGGATAGGAATTCTCATACGTTGTTGGTGGGATTGCAAAATGGTACAACCATTCTGGAAGGCAGTTTGAAATTTCCTCAAAAAGCTGAACTTTTCCACTATTCACTGCTAGGAATATACGCTGAGGAAATTAGAACTAAGACACAAATGGAAATTTACACACCAATGTTCATAGTAGCATTATTCATGTGGATTGAGAAATGTGGTACATTTATATGGAGCACTCAGGAGCAACAATTTTGAAAATTACTGCATAACTTGGGAGAGACTTATGGAGAGCATTACCCTGAATGAACTAACTCAATCTCATAAGGATAAATACTGTATAAGAGCATTATTGTAAAAAGAGAAAGATAACTAGTCAAATGTGTATAGGAATCCAGAAGGGGAAGAGGTGGGAGCAGAGGAGTGAGAATAGGGGAGGGGAAATCACAGGGTTGCACAATTTGGTGGGTGGAGGGAGAGGGAGTAAAGGAAATAGGAAAGATACAGCAGGAATCTGGAAAGACAAGGTAATGGTAGTCTAGTTCAGTGGTGATTAATGTTATAAAACAAATGACTGGGAATGACTATATGAAACTCAATGTGAATGAAAGATAGTGTGAAATGCAATGTGTATGAGCTTTGTATATAAACCAACATAAAATAAAAAAAATTAAAGAAAGGAGCGGGTCAATGAAAAAGAGGAAGCCTTTATCAATGAAATGGATTGATAGAGAGTCTTTTTTTTTCTATAATTATATTTTATTAATTTTCATAAACATTTACAGAGATTTTGGGCTTCCACTCATTCATTGTTGCACTATTCTCTCTACCCTCCTCCCAGTTTGTTCTTGTCCAAATGCCACAGTGCTTGTCAAAGCCAGTTCTGATTAATCTTCTTTGTCAGTGTGTCCTTTGCCATTCCCTATCACTCCTCCCTGAGAGAGACTTCACCCTGAGTCATAAGGAAAAGGGGATGGCGTATTCTCTTAGCTACTTCCTGCTGAAAAGGGACGCTGTGGGTTTCAGGGTGAAGATCTTCTCTCACTACTCTAAAGGGCCCCTTTGGCAGTAGGAAACACATAGACTATTATGGAGATTGATTTTGGGATTTAGATGCACTCTTATTGATTGTGCTTGGCCGTACATGTTCATATCCTTGAAGATGTATCATGGGGGTGTTGCAACCTAGAAGACACAAATTTGACTAACAAGTTATAAGTACATGAGTCCAAAATTATGGAAAAGTAAAAGAAAAGATTCTTTCATTGTTTTACAAACCCTCCCCCAGGTCCCCTCCACCATGTAGCCCTCGCTCTAGGATAGAGAGTCTTAAACAACGTGATCAAATACAGCAACAACTGTGAGGATGGCACAGGACTGGGCAGTGTTTCATTCTGCTATGTACACTGCTAATACGAGTTGGAATTGATTCAACAACACTGGATAACAACAACAATTTGTTATCTATGTTAAAAATACTTACTATTCAAATAATTAAAAGTTTACTTATTTCTCATGAAGTTTCTTTCTTAGGGAATGAGAGGGTAACATTGTGGGGTTTGTTTTTTTTATTTAAGGTGATTCTTCAAATGGATATGATTGTTTAATCTTTTTAAAATATAAAAGGTAAACAGCATAAAAACAATAACAACACTTTTTTACTCCATTCCCTAGCACCACTCACTAAATGTAGTCATAAAGATTCACTATCTTGGAAACTTTATGGCGTAGTTCTAAGCCCTGTAGGGTGACTATGGATTGACAGCGATGGGTATAGGTACGCCAAATATACACATGCAAATACAGCTTAGCCTGACCTAGTTTCAGAAGCCTAAGCAAAAGTGGGCACTTAGAAGGCCAAAGAGGGCAAGCCATGAACTCTTAGCCTTGTCTATGCAATGAATAAACCAAGGAAAATATGAAAGACATAGGTTCTGAGTTTCAAGATGGTTACAAATCTTTGGCAGTGTATTCCAGACCAGGTGTTGTTGTTGTTGTTGAATGCCGTCGAGTCGTAGACGACTCATAGCGACCCTATGAACGAACAGCCTGAGCACTGTTCATACATAGAGTTTCCAGACCAGGTAGACTTGGAATACCCAGGGCTCTGGTTTTTGCTTTTAAGGCATTTAATTTTCTTTAAAAAAATTGCCTCCTAATCTGTTTCACCCAGGCAGAGCCCTGGACATATATATTCTCTTTTTATATGATTAAAGCAGTTCATGAGTTTCCTGCAACATGTAGCTCATAGTTTGCTTAGGACCTGAAATTTGGAGTTGGATAGGCCTCATATTTGTAGTATCAAGCCTTCTAGGGTCTTAAAATGTTTCTTAGATAACATCTCTGAGGCTCTCTCAGACCACTGAAATAACAGATGTGGAAGTTTCTCCTGAACTTCTACAAGTAGATCTTCCCCACTGCAGGCTCTACTCCAGACCTGATAGTCATACCTCTGCCTGGGCCTCCTGGCACAAGAGATAAAATTAAAATGTGTTACTCCCAGCAGCTGGTCAAGAAGATACCAGAGTAAAGGTAGTAGGAAAGAAGAAACTTGTCACAGAGTTCGCAAATTTGGAAGGAAATCCCGCCATTTGAAGATTCTTAAACCAATAAAAGTACTTTCATCATTTTCTGTCAGGAATACAACTGCAAAGAGGATCTGAGAATCAACAATTCAAAACAAGCATCTCCTGTGGTCAAGCAGATAACAGACTGTAGCCATGGGACAGGGTGAGCCAAATCAGCTCTCCACTGGGCTATCATTTGAACTCTTCATCATTATGTTTTCATTGAAGGAAGGAGCGAGGTGGTTGAGGATGATAGTTAATTGGTGCTGGTGATGGTGATGGCAGTGAATGGGTGTTGGTAGTAATGGAGATGGAGGTGTGACTGTGCTGTGGACAATAGTGTTTGGGTGCTGGTGGCAGTGGTGATAATGGTGTTGTGACTGTGGTGTGGAGTTTTGTGAGTGGGTGCTGGTGGTTACGGAGATGGAGATGTGACTGGTGTGAAGGGATAGTGAGTGATGGTGGTGGAGTGATGGTGGTACGACTACGGAATGGGACATTTTAAGTGTTTACCGATGGTGGCAGTTATGATTTTTGGCTATTGTGTGGAGATGGCAGTAGGTGGATCTAGGTGGTGGTGGGATAGTTTGGGAGTGGTTAAATGGGTGCTGGTGATAATATGTGGCTATTATTATTAGCATTGAAATGCTAGTAAAAGAATTCTTGGTTGTAAATTTGTAGTTGCTAATGAGAAAGTGATGGTGGTCCCATAGATTTGTGCTATTAACCCAGGACCATCAAAAGACAGAGGTCATGAAAATCAGAACTTCCTTAAGAAAAATTAAATATTATCATCTGGCCTGTGAAATTGCCTCCCCTATTCATGTCCTGGGGAGATTATGGAGTTGATGGGAAGCAACTGTAGTTCTGCTACAGAAACTATCTGGGAAGATAGTTCGGTGTGTAATAATTGACTGTGAGATCAAAACCTAAGAGAAAGACTCTGGGAAAATTCAATCAACTCCTTCATATCTTGAAAAGATAGGAGTAGATCCAAACAAAATTAAAATGTCTTCAGTCAGAGGGACACATTTAAAACATCACCAGACAACACTCCAGGGCATCAAATCCTTTCTAGGGAGACAGCCAGGACACTCTTCCCAATCAGATACTATTCACAGTTAGCTCTGTGGTCATGGTGTGTTAGATCTGGATTGTGTCAGCTTGTCCAGACTTATAAAAGCACTTGTTAAATTTTCAGGAATCTTGCACACCAGTCCTTAAACATAGCCATTAACATTTAGGTTGTACAAACCTACAAGTAAAGAAATGATGTTAAAAATAAAGTTAATAAATACTCAAGATCCAGCACTTCCTAATTATTAAAATGTGTCTTTAAGCTTTTGAAGTTGTTTATAACTATTATATCTGCAGGTGGAAAAACTATATAATGGTGTGCTAGTCCACATCTTTTTACAACAATATATTCAGTAACGTAATATAATATCAGCAGCTTGAAATTGGCCATAGTGGAAGTATTTACACCACAGATATTGATAAATACTACAAATAAAAGACTACCTGGTCATGCACCCCACTCTCAATCTGGTTCTTAAGTATTTAAGGGTATTTTATGAGGCAGTGTTGAGGTATTATGAAAAACAGAGAAATGGAAGTATGGAACTGATGTTTCATCAAAGAAACAGCAGAACATTCTTGAAGTTTCTGCATTAACGTGACCATTTTCATGTGATTTTGTGACACATGTGGCACATTCAAGAGAATGTTACAGCCTCAGGACAAAATTGAAGAAATGGAAACAACCCAAGTGCCCACCAACAAACAAATGGATAGACAAACTATGGTACATTCACACAATGGAATATTACACAGCATTGAAAACCAGTGGGCTCATAAAACATTACACGACATGGATGAGCTGGGAAGATATTATGTTGAGTGAAATATCTCAGTCACAAAAGGACAAATACTGCATAATACCACTGTTACAAAAGAGGACTGACAAGGGAGGTTGGGAATGAACAATAAAAGAGTGGATGAATCTACAACCAGGAGAAGATAAAATAGATGAGTGGGACCTTCTAAGAATCAAATCCCTATGCACATCCAAAAACTTCTCCAACAGGGTAAAAAGGGAAGCCACAGACTGGGAAAAAGTGTTTGGTAATGACATGTCAGATAAGGGACTTATATCTAGAATTTATAAAATACTTGAGCACCTCAACAAGATAAAGGTAAATAATCCAGTAGAAAATGGGCACAGGATATGAATAGACACTTCACCAAAGAAGACATTCAGATGGCCAACAAGCACATGAAGAAATGTTCAAAATCCCTAGCTCTAAGAGAGATGCACATCAAAACAACTAAGAGATATCATCTCACCCCAGTCAGAATAGCAAAATTTAACAGAACAGCAAGCAACAAATGCTGGCAAGGTTGTGGAGAAACTGGAACCCTTATTTGCTGTTGGTGGGAATGTAAAATGGTGCAACCACTGTGGAAGGCAGTATGGCGCTTTCTCAAAAAGTTGCAAATAGAGATACCATTTGACCCAGCAATTCCACTACTGGGAATATATCCCAAAGAGACCATAACTGACATCCAAGCAGATATATGCACACCCATGTTTATTGCAGCTCTGTTCACAATAGCAAGGAGTTGGAAACAACCCAGGTGCCCATCAACAAACGAATGGATAGAGAAGCTGTGGTATATTCACACAATGGAATACTATGCTGCATTGAAAAACAAGGAACTCATTCAATATTATTCAAAATGGGTGAGCCTGGAGGACATTATGCTGAGTGAAATATCTCAGTCACAAAAGGACAAATATTGCATGGTGCCACTGCTGTAAAATGGGACTGATATCAGGGTGGGGGTAAGACTGAGAAAAACTGGATAAATTGTGTATACTGCACTGAAACAGATGAGGGACTGAATAACTTAAAAACGATGTATGATAGGGTATTATGGTTATCACAAGAGTTCACAATTAAGGTTGCATAGTGGAATGTACTTGGGACGGTGGGAGGGGTGCAGGGGGATTGTGTACCAGGGAGGGAGTCTTTCTTTTACTTTTGAAAGAGAGGAGCGAACTGGGGGGTGGGGGAAGAGGGCTGGGCGGGGAGAGAAGTGCAGCAATGAATGAATGGAAATCCAAATTCTCTGTAAATGTTCATTAAAATTATTAAAATAAAATAAAATAAAAAGAGTGGATGAATAGTGAACACTGAATTGGAACAGATGAAAGGAATGTAAGATTGTTGTTGTTATGTTCAGTCGAGTTGCTTGCGACTCATAGCGATTCTATGTACAACAGCCCTAAACCCTGCTCTATCCTTTGCCAGCCTCACTGTCTCCGACTCTCCCACCATCTCAATCTCTCCTGCGCTGCCCCTCCACTCTCTCAAATATGATGTCCCTCTCCAAGGACCAGTCCCTCCTTGCAACATGCCCAAAGTATGCAAGCCGAAGCTTCAAAATCCTTGACTCCAAGGAGCATTCTAGCTTCACCCTCTCCAGGACAAACCTGTTTGTTTTCCTAGCAGTCCATAGTATATTCAACACTCTTCTCCAGCACCACAGCTCAAAGACATCAATTCTCCATCTATCATCTGTAGTCACTGTCCAACTTTCTGATGCATAGCACGTAGTTGCGAAGACTATAACCCAGATCAGGTGCACCTTAGACTCCAGCCTGACGACATTGCTCTTCAGTATGCTTGAGAGGTCCCTCACAGCTGACTTTCCCAATGCAATTCATTTCTTCATTTCCTGGCTGCTGGAGTGTTGACTGTGGAGTCAAGCAAACAAAAACTGTTAATTATCTCAATCTCTTCACCATCTATACTGGTGCTGCCAATTGGCCCAATGGTGAGAATCTTTGTTTTCATGATGTTGAGCTTCAATCTGTATTGAAGGCTGCAGTCCTTAACCTTCTGCAGGTCCTCCTCAGTTTTAGCAAGCAGGGTTGTGTCATCTGTAGAACACAGGTTGTTGATGACTCTTCCACCAATCCTGATGCCACATTCCTCCTCATACAGCCCAGCACCTCGGATGATCTGTTCTGCATACAGATTGAAAAGGTATGGAGACAGAATACATGCCTGGCGGACCCCCTTCTTGATTTTTAACCATACAGGGTCTCCCTGCTCTGTTCTGATGACTGCCTCTTGGTCCATGTATAGGTTTCACATTAGCACAATAAAATGTTCTGGGATTCCCATTCTTTTCAGAATCATCCATAACTTCTTGTGATCCACACAGTGAAAAGCCTTTGCATAGTCAATGTAGTACAAATAGACATTCCTCTGGTATTCTCTACTTTCTGCCAAGATCCATCTAACATTAGCTACAATGTCCCTAGTACAACGCCCTCTTCTAAATCCAGCCTGTACATCTGGAAATTCTCTGTTGACATATCGCTCCAATCACTTTTGGATAATTTTCAGCAGAATCTTGCTTCCATGTGATATTAATGATATTGTTCAATAATTTCAGCATTTTCTTGGGTCACCTTTCTTTGGAATGGGAACAAATAGCAATCTTTTCCAGTCATTTGGCTAGCTGGTTGTCCTCGAGATTTCCTGGCACAACTTAGTGAGCACATCCAGGGCAGCGTCTGTTTGTTGAAATATGTCAATGGTATGCTCTCAACTCCTGGAGCCAGTTCTTTCAGAACAACTTGAACTTCTGATTAGGCATCATATATATGACAACAATCTGGAACAAAAGGTGTAATGCAAAGTGGACTTGGGGAGGGAGGAGAGAAGGGAAAGGAAGGAAATGTGCAACAATGAAAGAATGGATGGATGAATGGATGGATGGATGGATGGATGGATGGATGAAAACCCAACCTTCCTGCAAACTTTCTTTAATATCACAATACATTTTTTTTAAAAAAAAACAAACCCAAATTGAAGAGCAGAGATAGGAGTCAAGAGATCTAATTAAAAGGACCAGAGGCAAGCATAGAGAAAGAAAACTCAGATTCCAAAGATAAAGAGATGTTAGGGTTCATGGCAAGGTTCTGGTCATCACAGACACAGGTTTGAGGCCTGAGTGATACATTTGAGATATAGATTCTCCTCACGCTCTCTCAAGATTCTTCCATTCTTTGAGCAAGGACTGATTGTTGTCTGTTATATATCGTAGAGGTGGAGCCGACCCTCTGGTGCATTTTTAGAGGCAGTTAATTGCACAGGATTGTTCTTGCAGAGAAGCTGGTGGTCTCAAGCCATGTGCCATTGGGACTGCAGCGCAGCTCCTTGCCACTAGGCCACCAGATTAGACATCTATATTCTAGGTACTGCTGAGGCTGGGGATGCAGATATGGTACCTCTATGAGACGCACCACAGAGAGGTAATCAGATAATTTTTAAAGTGGGACAGTGCTGGAAAGATTGGAACAGAATTCTGTGGGAGCTGAGAGGACAGGCTTTGCCTGGAGCAGTTGTGAATGATTCATAGGTGAGCTGAATTAATGTTCACTCATCCTGTAGAAAAGAGCTCTAGCAGTTTACTGGGTGAGAAGTTTCTCTGACAACCTAAAGACAGATGGTTCAAATCCACCAGACGTGGGAAAACGATGAACAGTCACCTCCTGTGTGATTTACAACCTCTGGAAACCTGCTAGCTGGTCAGCTATGAATCATTTCCAAATTAACAGCACATAACAACAGCAACAACAACAACAACAACAAAGCTGGGGTTCTTATGAAGGCGAAGAGGAGAACAGCAGAATGTGAGGAATTTTTGCAATATTGCCTTGTGCTTGAACAGTCTGATTAGCAGTCACATGCCAGATTTTTTGGTCTGATCGTACTGATACTCCATATGTTGTGGAGCCGTTGACACTATCCAGGTTAGGGGAAGCATATCATTTACTATCATTCAACTTTATTTTCTGTTTTGACATTTTAATCAAAGTTTACCAAAAACTTGGATTTCCATTCATTCATTGTTAGACATTTTCTTCCCTACGTTCCCCGCCCCCAGGCTTGCTTTTCTGTAAAAACATTCTTTCATTGTTACATAATTTCCTCCCTGTGTCTCATCCCCCAGTCCATTTTGCTATTCACCTCTTATTCTGGACTATTGTCATACAATTAATACTTAATCATGTATTTCTTTTAGACAGTTCTTTCCCTCACCCATTTAAGTGCAGTGTTCATTATTTATCCCCTCTTTTTTTCTTGTTTCCCCCAAACCTCCACTTTAGTCCTGTTTTACAACAGTGGCATTATGCAGGATTTGTCCTTTTGTGACTGAGATACTTCAAACAGCATAATGTCCTCCAGGGTCACCCATTTTGTATATTTTATGAGTTCCTTGGTTTTCAGTGCTGCGTAGTATTCCATTGTGTGAATATACCAGAGCTTCTTTGCCCATTCATTTGTTGATGGGCATTTGGGTTACTTCCATCTCTTTGCTATTGGGAACAACACAGCAATAAACATGGGTATGAATATATCTGTTTCAATGGCTGCTTTGTTTTCTCTAGGGTATATTCCCAGTAGTGCAATTGCTAAATCAAATAATATTTCTATTTCCAAATTTTTGAGAAAGCGTCATACTGCCTCCAGAGTGGCTACACCATTTAACACTCCCACCAACAGTGAATAAGGGTTCTAGTTTCTCCACAACCTCTCCAACATTTGTTGTTTGCTGCTCTGTTGAACTTTGCTATTGTTACTGGTGTGAGATGATATTTCATAGTTGCTTTGACTTGCATCTTTCTTAGAGCTAGGGATTTTTGAACAGTTCTTCATGTGTTTGTTCATCATCTGAATGTCTTCTTTGGTGAAGTGTCTGTTCATATCCTTGTGCACATTTTGTGACTGGCTTATTTTAACATTCAACTTTTGAAGGAAAATTACTGAATAAGAAAGAGCAAGAATAAAGTAGTTTTAAGTGGAGAGTTAGCTCCTGGACGTAACTGGCAGGAGTGAATGGGATCAGGTGAATAAAGAAGTTGTCAATTGCCTTCAAGTTGAGCATGACTCATAGCGACCCCGTGAACAAAAGGCCTAAAACCCCTCTACAACCATCAACATTTGTCACAGTTCATAGAGTTTCTGGAGGCATGTTATTTAGGCAGTGGAGGTTAGCCATAAATTGCTGGTACAAACAGGAAAAGGCAGGAAAAGAAGAGGCTTTTTGGTTTGTTTGGGCTTTTTTTTAAAAAAAAAGTTTACAGAAATTTTGTGTTGTTAAGAAAGTTAACATCATCAATAATACCACTAAGTTAAGAGAAAGTTTTAAAGTTCTTGTCGCTGTAAAGTATTAAAAACACTAGTTTTGCATTATCATAGGGTATTTCAAAAGGTCCATTTTCTATCATTTTATTCTTTGGCTGCTTTCTTATCTGTCACACAGGAGGCTTGGACTCAGTGATTTTAAAAACCAGCTCTAACATTTTTCTCATTGCATTATAAGAACAATGAACAAAATTCTGGATATTAGTCCTTGCTTTTATACTCAGACCAGAAAAGAGGTCAATCATGAAAACAATCATTTGTCTTATTAATAATTACACAAAAATAATAACAGTCTAATGTAATTGCATTTAATGCGTGTCAGGGCAAGTTTTCATTATTACATATAAGATCTCCATGAGTTGTGGTCAATCCAACAGCAACTAATAACAATTATGTCTGGGACGGCACTAAGTGTATTATACGCATTATGTCATGTAATTCTTTTAACACCTTGCTGGGAGAGATAATTACTCTAAGGAAGAAGAAATTGAAGCTCTGAATGGTAAAGTGTTTGACTGAGATTGCATAGTTGGTGAGTAACTGAACCTTAAGTAAGGCCTCGAACCTTATTTAGAACCTAGAACCTTATTTAATCTCTAGCTCTAAAGTGATGCCTTTTATTTACATAATCACATTTACTCTGTCTCCCTGATTTCTTCTCCTTACCAGCACTGGCTATCAAGAGCTGTGATTTACAAGCAGCAAGAAATAATGAAGAGCACCACACCAAGGCCATCAGCTCAAAGAAACTAATCTTAAGGAGAGGACAGTCCTTCACCATCACCCTGCACTTTCGTGCTCCAGTCCACTCTTTTATATCTACCCTGAAGAAGGTAGCCCTCATTGCACAAACTGGTAAGTGAGGCTGCTTAGATCCCCTTCAGCAGCAATACTGGAGGTTCTCCTGAGAGACCAAAGGGCAAATGGCCCACACTGCAGTTGGACCTGAGGAAGCCCCACCCACCTGGCAAGGTTGTTATGAGGGTGCCTGAGATAACGTGCACAAAGAGTGACTTTTTATGACTCAGAAATTGCTCAGCAACGTACCATAAATGGGCCCCTTTTCAATGCAACTATATACAAATCCTAGAAAAGCCTGAATAGCATCTAATCTAGGTTAGTTATAATAACTCATTGCTACTACATATGGAGTCTATATAATATGTAAGATTTTGGGTCGCAGGCTTTACATGCAATATCTTATTTAACCCTCATATCACCTATATTAAGCAGATACTATAATTATTTGACCAAATTTCTGGATTCTGAACCTTTTATAGATATAGGTCCATGGATGTGGAGAACTTGTGTTCTTATCTATCCCATTTCATGCTTCCATAGGTATATTCCTGGATGCTCTTTCTAGACAAATTAATTTTATCTCTTCCAGTTTTATACCACCCTGATTTTATTACTCTAAGTTGTGGCTAAGGGGCCAAATGACAGATTCATCACTGTTTTTGCAGGAGAGCAGCCTTCTCAGAGCAATAAGACCCAAGTCATATTTCCCGTCTCTAGTAAGAGGGACCAAAAGTCGTGGTATGCAGCAGTAGAGGAGAGAGATGCCACATCCTGGACCTTATCTGTGATAACACCTGCAGATGCCATCATTGGTCACTACTCACTCCTGCTTCAGGTCTCCGGCAGGACACAACACACCCTGGGACACTTCACACTGCTCTTTAACCCCTGGTGTAAAGGTGAGTTTGCACTTAAGCCAGTCTGAACTGCAAAGGGAACTTAAGGACTCAGAGCTAACATGCATTGCTAGCAGGGAGGAGCTGCTCCAGTCCTTCTTAAACACTGATGTCTTCTCCCTGGATAGGTGGGTTCTCAGACCCAGAGACTTGTCTTGCTGTTACTAGTGGAAGAAGTAATCTGGACATCCACTGATAACAAAATCGCATCCTATCATTAAACCTTGGTGATGGCTCAGTTTCTTTGGGTCACAGAAATAGTAACTCTAAGGAAAGGGACTTATTATAACATTACAGGGACAAAAAGTGGACAGCTCTTTAGAAAGGAAGGAGGGATGAATTTTGTCTCTCTCTGGATTCGCCTAATCTGTCACAAGGTGAATTTAGACTTTGTGAGATCTGAAGCTTATGTAATTTTGGAAGCTGCTCTTTAAGAAAAAGAATATAAAAATTTCTTTTCTAAGGTTTCTGCTAGGGAGCTCTGGTGGCCTAGTGGCAAGAAGCTATGCTGCAATTCTGAAGGCACGCAGTTTGAGGCCACCAGCTGCTCCAATGGAGAAAGATAGGTAATCCCTTCCTGTATGACTAACTATCTCTCAAAACCTGCTGGAGGGTCAGCTATGGATCGGTTCTGACTCTACAGTACACAACAACAACAAGGTTTCTCCCAACAGTTCAGTAGTAGAAGTTTCACTTTTCACAAAGGAAAACCCACTCATTGCTGTTGAGTGATCTTTACAGGACAGGATGGCATAGGGTTTGACCCTGTAGGATAAAGTAGAATTGCTCTATAGAATTTCCAACGCTATAAATCTTTACTAAAGCAGACTGATGCATCTTCCCTCCAGCAGAGGTGCTCTTGAGTTTGAAATCCTGAACTTTTCATGTAGTAATTGAATGCTTAACCATAGCACCACTCGAGCTCCTGCGGTAGGGCTGACCTGAGTCCATTGCCCAGCGAATATGCACTGTGTGTGGCTGACCCATCAGTAGGTGGGGACTTCCGTGTTGCTGTGCTGCTGAACAGGTTTCAGCTGAGCTTCTAGACTCAGAGCAATTATAAAGAAAGGGCTGGTGAACTTCTGAAAATCAGCCAGGGAAAGTTCTATGGATCACAATTGTCTGATCACAAAAGATCATGGAGATGGGGCAGAACTGGACAGGATTTTGTTTTGTTGTGCATGGTGTCACCATGAGTCAGGGCTGCTCAATGGTGGCCAACCATTATAAGAAGATCAACAATAGGTTTAGTCCCAGGGTCTGTGAGGCCTGTGTCCATGAGAGGCCCTCAAAGTGCAGCTTCATCAGCTTCAAAGAAAAGCCTCTCTAATTCTGTCTTCCTGTTCAACTGAATAAAAAAAGAGCATGAGCCACCTGGAGATGGCCATATCTGACCTTTATTAACTCTACAAAGTGAAACTATGCCCGTCAACAATACAAAACCAATTCCTGTGAGGTCATGTGTGTCTCCCACATTCTCCTACCTCTTTCTACTCATCGCTTACCAATCTTCACTGCTTTACTAGGTCCAGGATCTGATATGATAGATAGTTCACAGGCTACACAGAACCATTATTAGGGAAGTCAACGGCTATGATTCAGGTTAGTATCAAAACACAACCACTCTGTCAGGACAGCTTCCGAAATGTTCTCTCAAGCATCTCAGCCTTGAGGCACACGGCTTTAGGCCTGTGTTACCAAGCTTTCAGTCCTGGCCCTCTCCTCTTCCCGACTCCAAGTCCTCCAACAAACTTGAGCAAAGGCTCTTAGCTCTGGTTCCCTGGGTGGGTGGGGAGTAGTCCCAAGGCCAGATACTTTGTATCATGTCAGACCTCTGGTCCTCTGCTGCTGCTTCTATAAATCTAGCTGGCGCAAGAATATCTGGCCCTGAAGAGTGCTCATGCATGCCTGTGTCTTCCTTGCTGGTGATGAGGCTCTCGAATCTGCCATAGTCAGCTCAGTTTAGTAGTGAGACTAGCCAATCCCCTTGTGGATACGTTAACACACCCTATTCACATATTTCCACCCATTCACATGGCAAAGTCAAATTCAATACTGTATTTGAACAGATGAAGGAAAGAACTGTTAAAAAGGGATATATTATTAGGCATTATTTGTTTGACAACAGGCCAGAATATGAGGCGCATATCGAAGTGAACTGGGGAGGTTTGGTGGAGAAGGAAGGAAACTATGCAACAATGAGTTATTTTTGTAAGTAAACTGGGAGTGGGGGGGATAGAGAGGAAAATGCACAACAACGAATGAATGAAAATCTAACTTTTCTTTAAACATCTGTTAAAATCACAATTAAAAAACCCCAACAACAAATAAAGTAAAATCCATAAGGAAAATTCTCATGATATAATGAAAATAAGGGTCCTTTTCCAATTTCTAGTTCTCTCTTTCTATGTACCTCAGTACTGTGTATTCTGCCTCTCTATTGCTCTTATCTAGAATGGGGTTCTCCAATTGTCTGTCTCCTTCAGATGGCCCTCCCTGTCTTCAATTCTGGTCCTTCTTTCTTGCTCCAGGGTCTAGGCAGGTGAAATAAAATAGGTGAATACTGATGTCTATTTGCAGAGACCATGGTGGCTCAGTGGTAGAATTTTCACCTTTCATCCGGGAGACCTAGGTCAATGCACCTTATGCACAAACCACCCCCGTCTGTCACTGGATGCTTGTGTGTTGCTGTGATGCTGAACAGGTTTTAGTGACACTTGCATTCTATGATGAATGGAAAGTCCTAGGGATCTGAAAATTAGCCAAGGAAAGCCTATGGATCACAGTAGCCCAATCCACAACCAGTCATGGAGATGGTACAGGACAGTGCAGCGGTGTGTTCTATTGTGCACGGTGGTGTCATGAATAGGGACCAACTCAAGAGCAACTAAGAAAAAAAAAGAGAAAAAAAAAAAAGCAACTAAGAGTAACAATGTTGGATCCCCTGGCTCCATGTGGATAAATGTGAATTCAGGACCCCTTAACAATGGAGAGACACCGTGGCACTCTGCATACTGACAGAAAGACCTTAAAGCCCTTTTTCTCACAAGCAGAGGCTTTCATGTACCTGCCTGACTAATTCTGAGCCTACTCCCAGTACTTCCAGCCACAGTAAAGACAGTTCTAAGACAGTGTTCAAAACCAGGTGTCCTGCCCTTGGCTCGACTTGTATGGACCTGCTGAGGAAAGGCATCTCTACAGAGAGGGTGTGTGGAGATGTCTGCTGGGCAGGGCTGAGTTGTTGACACTGCTTATTTATGAGGCAATTAAGAGATTTTTCAAGGATTATCTGGCATCTCGGTCCCATTTCAGCATCGTTGGTGAAGGGTATTCCTAGATTCAAAAGGAAAATGTATACAACACAATCAGGGCCCCATTCATAAGCCAGGAACTTGATGAAAAAGGGTTGCATTCTGATGACAGGAAGAAGGTACTGTATCTGAACTCTAATAATGCACTTCTCAGAGCCCTGGGTCAATGTCACATGTGGGTTAAATGTGACTTCCAAACAAGTGATGTTGATTTCACTCCTTAGAGAGGGCTCTTCTGGAAGGAGAGAGCAGTTAAAAGGTTCCTTGGGCACACAGATGTGATAGTGAACTGACTTCATAGACAGGGCACAGGATGGAGAGTGAGGGTAGATGGTTCCTTGGGCATGTGGGCCTGTGTGTTTAGGCCTAAGATTTTTCATTTATACTATTTTGACCTTCTGCTTGTATTGTAACTTATTTTAACTTCCTAGAGAGCTCTGTTGGCTTAGTGTTAAAGAGCTGCACTGCCAATGCAAAGGTGGTTGTTGATGTTATTGTGGGCCATTGAGTTGAAACCAACCCATAGATAACCTTCCAGGGGTCTTCAGAAGCAGTAAATTGCACAGGACGAGATTTCCCATCCTTCTCCCACGGAGCCACTGGTAGATCAGAACCGTGTGCCTTTGGGACTGCAGCACCTTCCAGAACTCCCTAACACAAAAATATGCACTTTAAATCCATCAGCTGCTCCATGAGAGAAAGATGGCCAGGAGTAAGATAAGCAACCTCCTCTCTCCCCTACCCCATGAAATGTATTATGTCTGAAAAACCTCTGGAGGGTCAGCTATGAGTCGGTTCTGACATCAGGTAAGGAGTGAGTGAATACCCTCTTCATGAAGTGCCTAGAGGGACTACAGAAAGATGCAGCCAGCAGTTACCTTCGATAGTGTGGGAATCCTTTTCTCTTTCTAGTCCTCAGGAACCAGTCTAAATTTTCCTCACTACAACCATTCACCAGGCATAGAGTTCCCTCCTGGAAACAGCTCTCTGATTCCTAGAGTGGGGAATGTCCTCCTAAAGCCTCTGTCTTCCTCATGATACCTAGTCAACCCTTGGATAAGGAAAGCAGGAGAGGATAGGCTGAGGGAGTAATGGATCCAGGCTAAAAGCATTGCTTTGGCTTCTGCTTAATCCAGCTCTAGTACTCCCACTAATCCTATCTTACCAACGGCTCCTTTTCCCTTCTGTCCTCTTTGCCAATCTTTGTAAGATCGTCTTTTCCAAAAACAATCTTTTGGAGTTGCAAATTCAACTTGTAGGAAAGACAATATGCTCCTGAGCTTTTGCCACATTCTGTCCACCTCACAACACTCGGTCTGTAAATATCTTAGGAACAGCTAGGATTCTGAATTTGACATTTTTCTGTCTGACCATGAAGGTCATACTTTGGTTGACCCAGGAACTCTGACCACTATCACCTCTGTGCCAGTGACATGGTGGGGTCCCATGTGCCCCAGAATGAGCTCTGCCTCATTGTTCATTAGGTTCAAAGTCAAAGGGAGGCCTACAGCCAAACCTGGCCTGCTGATGGACAGAGAGTGCAAAGATCTGGATATGAAGGGCAGACTTAGTACCCTAATGGTGCTTATCCCACCCTACTTCTTACCAGAGGATGCTGTGTTCCTGGAGAATGAAGCTCAACGCAAGGAGTACTTGTTGAACCAGAATGGCCTTATCTACCTGGGCACGGCTGACTGCATCGAGACAAAGCCTTGGGACTTTGGCCAGGTACTAGAGCCTTCTGGTGAGGAACAGAACAGGATAGAGGTTGTCCTATAATCTTCAGGCTAGAGTTGATAGTTTTATCAGTCACTGGTTCCAAAGCCATTCTTTAAGCTAATTTCATCTAGTGGTACCTCCCTTTCCTCAGGCCACAATCATCCTCAATGATTATTAGAGTTAGCATCCCCAAAACCAAGGCATATAACACTTCTGTTAGAACCTTATTGTCTGCAGGATGGAAGCAAAACCCTGGGTTGTCATACAACGGCCCTTCACAACCAAGACTCTGGATTTCTTCCCCGTAAAGCCACCCCATGCTTTAGTTCCTCCTCATTCCCTAATTTTACAGCCTGAGTTTCCCCTCTACATTTTCAAGGAAAAGGGAACATTTTCTGAAGAACATTCTTGTGTTTTCTGTTTTGTATTGATATTGCTAATAGAATCTTAGCCACCTCTTTATATTCTCAGTAATACATACATAGTGCTGCTAACAGAAGAAATATCACAGTGGATGACTTTGAAATATCAAAAGTGGATGACTTTACAGACATAAATTTGTTTTCTCAAGTTTAAGAGGCTGTGGTTGTGGTTGTTAAGTGTCAGCATGTCAGCTCTGACTCATAGTGACTCTATGAATGACAGATCTGAAACTTGCCCTATCTTCCACTAACCTCATGATCTTTTGTGACAGTTTGGAAGTCTAAATTTAGAGAACTAGTCCTAGGAGAAGGTGCTATCTGTCCATTTGGGAAACCCTTATTTCATTCAGCTTCTCTTCATTGGTTCCTGGTGATCTCCACAAGGCATCAAACATTCTCCTTTTGTGTTTTTTTGCTTCCATTTCCAAAAGCAGATCTTTTAATGGATTCAAAGTGCTTTTGTAATCACTGTCATAAATAAGGGTCATGTTGCACAACAACCAAGTCTGATCCTGTGGTATTTGGACTTGAGTAGGAAAAATGACTCACAGGATGGTGTACATTCCGTGATTTGTTTACCACAAATACCTTTTTAAAAACACCAAAGACATCTTTACATATGGATCTTACCTAAGGGACTTCACAAGAATCAGACTGACAACTTCTGTACAAAGAATCATGGGAGAATTTCATTATTAGCATTCAAAACCAGGCAAAGCATCTACTGTGGAACAAACTATCAATTACTTATATGCAACTTTAAATTGAAGCTGAAGAAAATGAAAACAAGTCCATGAGAGCTAAAATAGGATCTTGAGTCTATCCCACCTAAATTTTAAAATCATCTTTCCCCCCCTTTATTATTTAATAAAGGTTGCAATGCCTTTATTTGAGGCTTTTTCACAGACCACTGCCTTTCTATAATGGGATTTGAGAAGGGGGGATCATTTTAAGAATATGTTTGAGAAATTCTCAACGAGAATTTAACACCAATGATTGAAGCCTAGATGAGCTGTGAGATGACATCGAAAATATCTACTATGAAGGGACAAAAAATCATTACAAAGATAAAGGAGAAAGAAAGAATCAAAACAAATGTCAGAAGAGGCCCTGAAGATTGCACTAGAACATCAAGAAGCCAAAACATAGGAAAGATAAGCTGAAGTAAAAGAACTTAACAGAAAATTTCAAAGGGCAGTTTGTGAAGAAACTATTAAGAAGAAACTATAAAAGAATGTGCAGAGAGTGGACTTGGAGAATAAAAAGAGAAGAATTCACTTGGTATTTCTCAAGCTAAAAACAAATTAAAGTCTTGGATTGCAGTACTTAGGGATGCTATAAGCAAAATCTTGAAAAATCCTGGAAGCATCAAAAGAAGAATGAGCAAATACACAGAATCACTGTACCAAAAAGAACTGTCAGACACCAAAATATTTCAGGAAATATCATATGATCTAGAGCCAGTGGCGAGGAAAGAAGAAGTTCAAACTATATGAAAGGTATTGGGGGAGGGGGGAAAGCCCCAGGCATTGATGGGATAGCAGCTGACGTGTTTTAACTAATAGATGTAGACCTGGACGTGCTCACCAATCTATGACAGAAAATTTGGACAGCTGCCTGGCTAATTAATTGGAAGAGATCCATATATTTGTCTCCATTCCCAAGAAAGGTGATTTGACAGAATATAGAAATCATCAAACAGTATCATTAATATCACATGCAAAAATAATATTGATGAAGATCATTTAAAAATGGCTAGAACAGTACATAGAGAAGTTCCAGAAATTCAAACTGGGTTTAGAAGAGGCCATAGCACCAGCGTTATCACAGATGATGTAAGATGGACCCTGGATGAAAGCAAAGAATACCCAGAGAATGTCTATTTGTGCACTTTTACTATACAAAGGCATTTGACTATATAGATCATAGCAGATTATGGCTAACATAATTGCACAAAACCTATACCTGGAACAAGAGGCTATTGTAAAAACAGAGCAAGGGAATGCTACGTGGTTTAAAATAAAGTATGTGTCATACTTTCTCCATATCTGTTCAAACTGTATGCTGAGCAAATAATTTGAGAAACTGGACTTTGTGAAGAAGAATGTGGTATCAGTATCAGAGGAAGACTCATCAACCGCTTACATTATCCAGATGATACAACCCTGCTTGCTGAGTGAGGAGATCCTGAAGCACTTCCTACAGGAGATCAAAGACTACAGTCTTCAATATAGATTAAATATAAACATAAAAAAAACCAACCCCCAAATTCTTACCACTACACCAATAGGCAACATCATAGTAGATGGAGAAAAGATGCAAACTGTCGATGACTTCTTACTTGTATCTAGAATCAACACAATTGGTATCAATAGTCAGGAGATCAGGAGACATATTGCTTTGGGAAAGTGTGCAGTGAAGGACCCCTCCAAATTATTGAGGGGCAATGATATAAGTTTGAAGACTAAGGTTTGCCTGATTTCAGACCATGGTATTTTCAATAACTTGTTATGCACTGAGAGCTTAGATAATGAATAAGGATGACAGAAGAATAGATGTCTTTGAGCTGTAACAGAGAAGAGAATATCCCATGGACTAACTCTACCATCCCAAGAATAAAGAGATATATCTTGGAGAAAGTGCATTTTTTAAAAAAAATTTTTTTTAATTTTTTTTTTCAAAGTTGTCCTCTCGAGGTACATGCACACTCTTTTCTTGTAAAAGAAATATGCAGCAAAGCCAGCGCTAGCCAGAATCAGGAAGGTGACAATGACGACTCCTGCCACATTGGGAAATGATTTGGAAGGCTCCATCTTCCTTGTATCAGCTTTTGTTATTATCAATGTATGAGTAGGTTCAGCATCAACAATTTTTGGTCTCTTACAAATATATCCTTTGTAGGAAGAACAGGGAATATTATTCCCAAACCCAGAAGAAGCAAGTAAATTCACAGTCGTTGCGCTCAGCAGAGGGATCCCCTGTATTCCAGTTGAAAAAGGAGACAGGATTGTTGTTTATCCAAAGCCATATTCCTTCAACATTTCTGTATAATCCTATCCAAAAATTTGTTTTAATTTTAAGTGGCTCAACATGATATGACAGAAAACTAGATTCAGCAGCACTTTCAATGGAAACCAAGGTGGAACTCATTCGAAGGCATTCCAGAGAAGCTTGGCCCCAGTTCCTTGTATATGAGGACTCTATGTAATAGCAGTGCCCGTGGAAGGGAATCCACGCTGTGCGGTCTGACTCTGGGCATCTGCCAGGCAGCTGTGGAGGTTCAGTGGCAGGAATGTCATCTGATCTTTTACACAGAGCGTGGAAGGTTTCATTGCAATATGCGGTCTTCCAGAAGCCATCTGTGTCCAGATAAACACAGGCTGATTTCAGTTTGGGTTCATCAGCAGCCCAGTTGGTATATCTCATTCTCCATTTATCAATCCAGACATATTCATTTATTGGTCAAGTTACTATTCAGTCCAATCCACAAAGGTGTTTTCAAATTTTGCATTTGTATCCACACAAATGCATTGCTGTAGGGATCTAGAATGCTTCCAATTTGAGAATTTTGAGCTGGAGAAAGTGCACTCAAAGTACACCTTGGAGGCAAAGATGAGGAAGCTTCATCTACATACTTTGGGAGTGTTGGCTAGGAGAAGCTTTTATTTGGAGAGGGACAGCATGCTTAGAAAAGTGGAGGGTTGGCTTAAGAAACCCTAAACCAGATGGACTGACGTAGTGACTTCAGCAATGGGCTCAAATATGTCACAGATGATTGTACTGGATAGGATGCTGTTTAGATTAGTTGTTCATAGGATTGCTACGAGCCACACTTGACTCCACAGTACCTAACAACAAAAACTCTATTTCATTTGTGTATGTACCTGTCACTGTACCGATACCAAGCAGTTTTGATTATTTGTGGTTATGTAGGAAACTATTAAATTAGAAAATGTAAGGCCTCCCACTTTATTTTTCTTCTTCCATAGTGAGTTGTTTATCCAGGGCCTCTTTCCATATAAAATTGGTAATTACTTCCTCCATATGATGGAAGAATGATGATGGGATCTGAATCTTGATTGTATTGAATTTATAGGTCACTATTAGTAGAATTGCCATTTTCACAATGTAAAATCTTCCAATTATGGGCATGATATGTTTATCCATTCTTGTAAGTTCTCTTTGGAGGTTTTGTGGCAATGCTGTGTAGTTTTTATATAGGTCTTTTGTAACCCTAATTAGATTTCTTCCTCATTATTTCATCTTTTGGGACAACTACTGCAAATGGTATTCTTTTTTTTTTTTTTTTTGCAAATGGTATTCTTTTCCTTAATTCCTTTAGAGTTACTCTTTGTTATTGTAGATGAGTCTGACTGGTTTTTACATGTTGATTGATCTTCTACACTGTGTGGGAAGCCTTTTAGAAAGAAACAATATTGAAAACTTTGGAGAGCAATACCCATTCAAGTGGTGTGGTGGGCCACAATGCTGTGCAGGGACACAGCTGTTTACCACCTTTGGTCCCTGTGCAATACATATGCAGCCTTCATCTATGATTATGGCAATTACGGAACCATCTGAAATAGGTTTGAAGTCCCGTTCAAAAGTGATTGGCTTAAAACTCACCCTACCTTGTTATGGCCTTACTAACCTAAGAAAGAAAAGTCTTATTCCCAAATGAGATTAGATCTACAAGTATAGGAGGGATTCAGGTACAACACAGATTTTGTGGGAATACAATTTGGTCCATCTCCATTTCTTAGGCTTCTATGATCAGAAGCTGTTCTTGCATCCTCTACAACCAGTCTAAGTGCTAGCAGGAGCAGCAGGAGATCACTAAATGTAAAACAATAGAAATGAAATGAAAGGACGTAGCCTCAAGGGCTCATACCTTACAGAAAGAGTCAGACAATGTAACTGGCAATGTAACATGGCACAGGGTCTAGGTGTCCAATGGGAAAGAAGGGGAAGACAGAACTACAGGTGGGGATCAGGAGGTAAGGGAGGAAGGGGTGGAGAAGATAGGATGACAGGGTTGCTTGTTGAGATGAGTCCTCGACTTTGAGACCCTTCCCATGACCCTATGTGGTTCTTATAGTTTGAGCGAGATACCCTCAACCTCAGCCTCAGCTTGCTGGGTATGGACAAGGAGGTGAAGAAGTGGAGCAATCCAGCGTATGTGGCACAGATATTGGGCGCCTTGGTGAGTAAGAGGTATGAGGAGGTCAAAGTGGGTAAGAAAGAACCAAGAACTCTCGCATTGATCTGTCTCACCTCAGAGGCCCCAGAATGCTCAACTCACAAAAGGACCTCTTCTGGTGTGGCAAACAGTGCTGGGAGAAGGGTCTGAATAAGGAAAGAAAACCAGGCAACAACATCCAACAACTAGAAAAGCAGCTACGTCAATTCTGACTCATGGAAATGCCTTGTGCAGAGAAGAGGCTCCACAGGGTTTCCAAGGTGGCTGCTTTCAGAAGCAGATCACCTGGCCTTTCTTCTGAAGTGCTTTCCTTCTGAAGTTCCTTTCTTTAGAGTTGGATTTGAACTTCCAACCTTTGCATAGCACCCATAGAAGTAAGAAAAGCAAAAAGAAATATTGTTCCTCAGGGCTGGATCAAAGACAAAAGCTAAGGATTAAAATTAGCCTTCCTTTCCTCAGAGGACTCTTCCCTCCTCCTACTTCTGTTTTTGCTTCTAATTTAAGCATGGTAGGATCCATTTTGTTCAACTTTCCTGCTAAAGTGATCATAGTTGTTGTGTGCCATCGAGTCAGAATTGACCCATAGCTGACCTCCCAGCAGATTTTAGAGGCAGTTAATTGCCTGCCAGGAGATTGCCCATGCTTCTCCCACAGAGCAGTTGGGGGATTCAAACCACATGCCTTTGGGGTTGCAGTATAGATTTTTTTATTGCTAAGAAGAAGAAAAAATAGAAAGTCAAGAGTATGAGAGTAAGTAGCTTGGTGCCTTCCCACTGCCTCTAAAAGTCTTTGCACAGGATTCCATTTTCCCCTGGAAGGGAAACTCCAGACTTCCCTCTGATGATGTGGTGAGGGCCAAGGCCAGCCTGAGGTGGGGGAAGCTGGGACTATGTAGGCCTCCATCTAGGTGCGAAGAACCTCAAAGGAACTGAGGCTGAGGAAAGAAAGACTCCACACGTGTAGCTTCTCATGGTTCTCTTTGTGGTTTGATATTTCTCAGTCAAGTTGTAGCCCTACTGCTGCTTCTGGAGAACTTATTTCAAAGAAAGTTTCTGGACCCTACTTCTAGAGATTATACTCCAGTAGTTTAGGGTGGAGTCTATGAACATGTAGGCTTCTCAGATACTGAGAGGTTCTGAAATGGGTGGTCCGTGCACTCTGCCTGGGGCACTGCCAGGAAGCTGAGGCTCACACTAACACAATGTATTTCTTCAAACAGCTACACGCTCTCAAGGAGAAGAATGTTTTGCCCAGCTCACGAACTCACGTTCCCCCAGAAGAAAGCTTGCCAAACAAGTGCCGAGGCAGTGTGTCCATCCTTCATCAGTGGCTCACAGGCCAAGGGCGACCTGTGTATGATGATCAGGCCTGGGTGTTAGCCGCTGTGACCTGTACAGGTACAGAGCAGGTCTGCCCACCACACCTACAGGTCACCATATCTCTGCCCCCGCCACTCAGATGGCCTTTTGGTCCCTAGTGGGGGAGAAACCGTTCCTCAAAAAAGTAGGCATAGCCTCCACACCATAGCTCTTACTCCCTTTCATCATGACTGTAACTGGTTCAGACGCACCTTCTGGCCAAGGACCCTGCTGATTGTTCCACACAGATCCTTCTGACCAGTTTCTTCTCCTTTTCCCCTTAACTAAGTTAAGCATCTGACAAATTCTACTCTCAAAGTTATTTTCTCCTTGAACTCTCTGTCACCTGTGCCAATACAGCCAAGCCCAGTGCTCTGTTATTCTACAAGCTTCTCCTGATAGTTGTTGTATCAGTCATTTGCACCTTATATATCAGCCTTTACACATCCTGTTCTTGGGACTTTTTGAGGTCTTGAACTTCCTGGTACCTGCCCAGGAAAGACCTTGATAATTCCAGTCTTAAAAACTGCCCCCCTCTGACACCCTGGCCCTCTTCCATGTAGTGCTGCGCTGCCTAGGAATACCTGCCCGTGTCATCACCACGTTCTCCTCAGCCCAGGGAACCAACGGAGAGCTGCTCATAGATGAGTACTACAATGAGGAGGGGCTTCAGATTGGAGAAAGCCAAAAAGGCAGAATCTGGTGAGAAGCCTAAAGGGGTGAGGTCCCAGGCCAGGAAGCTTCCAAACCTATGTGGTGTAATCCCACAGGAATCCCCATACCCATAATGATGTTGAGAATAAGCCTTCAAGACTCAAGAAGTCTTGACTTCAAGAAGGAAATAGATGGCTAGTTGTTTTGGGAGTTTTGCAGGCACCCTCCCATCCCCATGACAACAATGGCTCTGCTAGATTGTATTTTGAGAGTTTCATCAGGATTGTTTTCCCTCTCATTCATGTTTTCTCTTCTGCTACCATCAGGATCTTCCAGACTTCCACAGAGTGTTGGATGGCACGGCCTGTTTTGCCCAAACGCTATGGAGGATGGCAGATTCTGTTCCCAAGTCATTCTAAAGGAGGTGAAGGTAAATCCTGGAAGGGAGACTAGGACAAGAGACTGCATAGATGGCACCATATGTGCAAGGGAGTTGGGATTGTGTAAAACCATGATTGCCATTATATAATAGTATCTGGAAGCTCTGACTTTGGAGAATGGGTTAACAGATCAAACCCAGAGGGTTAGGAGAGCGGGCAGTCCCAATTAGCTCACACAGCTCAGAGTATCTGTGTCATCTCTACTCACAAGAAGAGCTAAGAGTTGAAGGAGTCCTTTTGAAAGGAAATAGGAGTGGAGAGTACTCCAAAGGCTGTCTGCATCTTCTAAAACAGGAGAGGTGGAGTGAATGACAGTGGGCCCACAAATCCAGCCTGATGTTAACAGGCTTAAGGGAAGAAAGCTGCCAGAGTTGTGGGGATTAACAGAACAAGTAGGCAAGTCTCACTGAACAACAAAGGGTCTTAAGATGCTGGTGAATGTGCCAAATTTGGGGCTTCTCAGGGTAAGACTTCAGGGGACTATGAGGCCCAGAGAAAGTAATTGCTGAGACCCATAAAAGGAAGAATCTTCCCTACCCAGGAACAGAACTGGCACAGAGTCTGGTGCATAACAAGTGCTGAATAAAGATGACTTATTCCTATCATACAGTCCCTGGGTGGTGCAAATGGTCAATATGCTCCACTGCAAGTTGGAAGTTCAAACCCACCCAGACGTAACTTACGGAAAAGGTCTGATGGGTCTATTTCTGAAAAATCAGGTAACAAAAAGCACACAGAGCTCAGTTCTCCTTTGACTGGACAGAGTCACCATAGCTGGAATCAATTTGATAGCAACTTGTTTTCTTCCTACCACATTAGTGGCAAAACTAGCTCAGGAATTTCTGTGCAGAAAGTTCCGCTAAGGTTCTATTTGTCCAGTTTCTAGGGCAGTCTTTTGCTATAGACCCTCACCCCAGAGTATTATTACTTAATAATCATGGATTTCATCCCTGTGGTGTTCTTTCAGAAGCCTAAACTAATGTCTTTGTCTTGGTCCCAGGGAAAGGAAAAGAAGCTGTAGCATGGGGGTGAGATTAGGTATTCCTGACCCTGGCAGAAGACTGGGTTTGCATCCTCTCATTCATCAACCTTTCTCTTCCTCAGTCCTGGAGGGCTGTGACCTGGTCCCAGTCAGAGCGGTCAAAGAGGGCACACTGAGTCTGAAGAGTGCCATATCACTGAGGCTGAACCATGCCATATCACAGCTTTTTGCTTCAGTAAACGCCAAGTGTGTGGTCTGGAAATGCTGTGAGGATGGGACACTGGAGCTGACTGACTCCAGCACCAAGTATGTTGGCAATAACATCAGCACCAAGGGTGTGGGAAGCGACCGCTGTGAGGACATCACACAGAACTACAAGTATCCTGAAGGTATTATGTAGGGGATGGCATTAGGCTTCTCAATAGATGAAAAAGCAAAAGAGCAAAAGGATGGACCAGATAGTTGCAGGCCAGAGAGTTCCAGTCACTTGCCTGTCATATCAACTAGATTTTCAACCTTGACACAACTGATATTTGGGGCCAGAATATTTTTTCTTTTGGGGCACAACCTATGCATTGTAGGATATTTTGCAGCATTTCAGGCCTCTGTCCACTAGATACTAACATCATCATCTAAACAGTAACAAACTACCCCCAACTGAAAACTACTGCTATAAAACAATATACCTAATATTACACCTGAGGATAGCAGTGGTTCAGTGATAGAATTCTTGTTTTCCATTCAAGTGGAGTTTAATTGTTTTTTACTGGACATCACTTGTCTGTCAGTAGAGGCTTGTTGCTATGATGTTGATCAAAGAAACTCTTATTAATTGCAACAATCTAATCATCAACTAATCATGGGCCAGACAACATTTTGTTCCATTGTACGTGGAGACTAGCTCATAACAGAAAACAATATCATAACCACCAAGCCCAACTGTCAGAAAACTTGTAGTGTTGTCTCTCTCCCCATCTCCTCTAATGTCTCACTTACCCAGACAAGAAGACCTGCTCTACCAGAAGTCTTTCTCTTTCACTATTCCACATTATTCTCTTATATATCTCATCCCCTTCCATACTGTCTTGAGTTGACCCAGGACTCACCACCTCTTGTGTTCAATGACAATAATTTTGACCAGTCTTCCTGCCTCCATTTGTTCTCTTTCCAATTTCCAGAATGAGTTTTTTCAAGACACAGATATACTTCATTACATTACTCCCTTGCTATAGACTATTTCATGGCCCTTATTACCCATAATGAGCTCTTGATGGCATGACATGCAGCATATTACCGCAAGTCTCTGGTGCTTCAAATTTACCAGTAGAATCTCCTTCTGTGCAACTTACCACCTCCAAAACCCCCACAGCAATGAGACCTGCTAAGATGAGCTCTGGTAGGATTGTTGCTGTTACGTACTGTCAAATCAACTTCTACTAATAGTGACCCTACGTACAAGAGCTCTGAAACCTGCTCTATCTTGAGCCAACTTCATTGTCTCTGACATACCTACCCGTATTACCTAGTCACTGAGTCAATCCATTTCATTGAGGGTCTTCCTCTCCTGCGCTGTCCCTCTACCTTCCCAAGCATGATGTCCCTCTCCAAGCACCTGTCCCTCCTTGCACCATTTCCAAAGTATGTCAGACGAAGCTTCAAATTCCTTGCCTGAAAGGAGCAGCCTGTTTTCACTCTCTTCGGGTCAAACCTGTGTGTTCTCCTAACAGTCCATGATATATTATTCAACACTCTTCTCCAGCACCACAGCTCAAAAACATTGATTCTTCTTCTATCATCCTTAGTTATTGCCTAGCTTTCTGATGCATAACAAGTGATTATGCAAACTGCTGTTAATCCAAACATCATGAGTCCATGGAGTGGCTCTGTGGGAGAAAGATGGGCAGTCTTGTAAGATGATTTAGCACCTCAGAAACCTGATGGAGGGTCATCATGAGTTGGAACTGATTTGACAGTAGGAAGTCTGAGTTTTGATACCTACTAAGGTGGCACAAGTGGTTAAGCACTTGGCTGCTAATGAAAGAAGTTGGTGTTCAAACACAGCCAATCACTCTGCAGAAAAGACATCTGGAGACATGACCCCCTAATGATTACAGCCAAGATAACACGTAAGGAAATTCTACTCGACCACATGGGGTTGCTATGAGTTGGAATCAGCAGTACCCAAAATCATATTTGCTAGGTAAGAGACTTGTTTTGTTTCTTCCATTCTTCAGGATCTCTTCAGGAGAAAGAGGTGCTAGACAGAGTCAAGAAAGAGAGAAAGAAATATAGGAGAGACAACAGCATCAGTCCTCCCAGTCTTGAGACTATAGATCCTTTGTACCTGTTTTTGGAAGCACCCAGCTCCCTGCCTCTGAGAGGTGATGCCCAGTTCTCTGTGACTCTGATTAACCCCAGCAATCAGGAGAAGACAGTGAAGCTGACAATTGGGGTCCAGGCCATGTACTACAATGGTGTCCCTGCTGCTGAGCTCTGGAAGGAGAAGCTGCCCCTCACACTCAGCGCCAACTTGGGTAAAGTTCTCTTGCTCCACCAGACACCCCCACACACAGGGTACTCCCTGCAGGTCTCCCGAGATGGCTTTATTCTCTTGCATGTGCACATCTAACTTCTTTCTCTTTCTTTAATTGAGCATTTACTATTTTTAAAAAAATTATGTTTTTTATATTCATTATTGAATTAATCCAGCCTAGAAAGATTAAAGAATTTTCCCAAGGATACCATTCATAGTGGTAAGGTAAGGATGAGGCATACATTTAAACAAAGAATCAAACTTGGGCAGGGACACATCTCATCTCTGTAGGTGAGAGCAGGGGTGGAAGTCTACAGATATAGGTTGGGCATGGGAGCATAACTTTAAGGAAATTCCAACTTGATGGCTTCATTTTTTCTTTTTTTAGAACCACCTATTTTTATTTGCTTTTTTAATATTTTGTTTGTTTTTGTTTTATTTTAATCAATATTTTTTGTATGTTTATAAAGAACTTGGATTTCCATTCATTCACTTTTGCACATTTTCCTCCCTACCCTCCTCCCCTGCCCATTGGTTTCTTCTTTAGAAAAAAAGTTCTTTCATTGTTATACAGTCCCTCCCAGAGACCAATTTACTACACAGCTCTTACTCATTTTCTTTTTAAGAGACAAAAAGGAGTAGAGAACAGAAAGGAACTAAGTAGACATACATTCAGCAACTACTGTATGGAATTCTCTGAGATAAATGATTCAGTTCAGTTGTAGTATTTCATTTAACACCAGGCATCTCATGAGGTAGACATTAGTATTAGAGAAGGACATTGAGACCCAAAGAGATTCACTTAAGTCTAGTTCAGAGGGACCTTTCCACAACTCCACTGATGTGATCTACCAAGAATATTGAAGGATATTATGGATGTGTAGAGGGTGTGATCTTAAGTGAGTTCAAAGTTTGAAACTTGTCAGGAATGAGATGTCTTTCAGGCTACCTCCCTGTGTTGTGTGTGTAACTACTGCTTGTTTCTGAAACAAATTCTAACCCTGTTACATTCACTCTGCCTGTCATGTATTCCAGTAAAGAGAATAACCAACAGCCTCTTCTTCTCCAATTTTGAGCAAAACCCACCTGAGAATAGCTTCCTCAGACTCACTGCTATGGCAACACACTTGGAGTCCAACCTCAGCTGCTTCGCTCAGGAAGACATTGCTATTTGCAGACCACTTCTTGCCATTGAGGTAGGCAAGTCCTTCTTGAAACGCTCTCATTTATTTCCATGCAGGCCCCAATTTCAATAGGAATCTGAACTCCTCTTTTGGACAAATATCAAAGATGTCGAGGGTACAGAATTATCACTACTCTAGATTTGAGGGCATTTTGAAAAGCAGGGTTCTCCTGTGTATATAGATATTGTTGTTTTTGTGAGGTGCTATTTTAAAATCTAAATTTTCCAAACTCTTTACTTGGTTGGTGAGCTTTGTTGGCCTAGTATACAAGGAGCTGCACTGCTAACCCAAAGGTCATGCCTCTGATGGTTTGGATCTATCAGCAGCTCCTCAGGATAAAGGTGGGTATTCTCCTCCTGTGTGACTTATGACCTAGGAAACCCAATGGAGGGGCAGCTATGATTCAGTCCTGATTCAAAGCCAGTGAGTTTGTGATTTTGGTTTTGGGTGCTTTGGGGTTGTTTTTTGTTTGTTTTTTCCAGTTGGCTAAATAAAAGTTCTGAAAACTTGCCAATTGCTGCCTTATAGTAATATGAGTACCAACTGTGATTGTTGCTGTTAAGTGCTGGCAGATTAACTCTACTCATAGCAACTCTTTGTATGACAGATGGAAACCTTAATCTGTGCCCTATCCTGTGCCCTCCTCAGTCTCACTGTCCCTAGCTCATAGCTGCAGTCAGCATGTCAATCTATCTCCTTTCTTTTGCTGACCCTCCACTTTTCCAAGCATAATGTTCTTTTCCAAGGACTATCCCTACTGATAAAACACCCAGAGTATGTGACATGAAGTCTCATCATTCTTGTCTCTGGCTGCACTGATTCCAAGATTGATTTGTTTGTTCTTTTGAAAGTCTATGGTACATTCAATATTGTTTGATAAATTCACATTTCAAATGTTACTGTTGTTGTTATGTGCCATCAAGTCAACTTCAACTCATAGCAACCACGTGAACAATGGATTTGGAACCTGCGCTATACTGTACCACCCTATCACTGATTCCAATAGCATACAGTAGCTTAGTACTTTATACACATTCCACAGTATTTTCACATTCTTTGTTATAATCCAAAAATAAAAAGGAAAAAAATATGGTAGAACTTTCCATTATTCAGATGAAAAACTAAATCCTAAAAGGTGACATGCCCAAGAGCATAAAAATAGAAAATTTTAGAGGATGTGGTTCTAGCTCCAGCCTTCTTTCCACATGTATATTTTAGCCAAAATGAAAACTATTTGGTTCTTGCCTTCAAGAAAATTTGGTAAGAGATACTCAGTGTTCAGCCTTCTATGTAAATAGAGTGTGCAAAGTCACACATGTATTAATTCTAGTTGGTGGAGTTAGGGAAGACTGTATGAATTTGTTGGAGGGTTAGCTATGGGGCAGTTCTGGCTCAACAGTACACAACAACATATGAAGTTGACAGTTATGCTATGCCTTGAAATACAGGTAATTTTTCAGTGCAGAGATGGAGAATGACTTTTGCAGACAGAAGAAGGATAAGCAAAGAAGCCCAAAGGAAGGCAACAAGGTGCTCTTCTGGGAAGGAGAAAGCATCATTCAATATGGTTGAGAGAAATGTCATTTGATTAAAATAAGAGGCAAGTTGGGGGCAGATTGTGTAGGATCCTAAATCTCAAGTTAAGTAAGTAGATGGCAGTGGGAAACCCTCCAAGGTTTCTGAGCAGAGAAGAGGCGCTGCATAGATTGTTAGTGAAAGGTCAAGGTGACAGTAAGTTCAAGGAGAATTAGAGAGAGGTTAAGAATTCAGCTATTGAATTTCAGTCAGAATGGCAGTGTTGAAGAGTGTGATCTAACTATGGTGTCAACACTCACTCCAGGTTTTTTCTCTTTTTACAGATGCCAGAGACAGTGAAGCAATATCAACCTCTTAAGATCTCAGTCAGCATCCATAACTCTTTAGATATGCCCATGAAGAACTGCTTGATTACCATCTTTGGAAAAGGGCTAATTCACCAAGAGAAAACTTATAGGTAAGAACATGCAAACTTCTCATTCTACAGAAACACCTCAACTTGTTAGAAAATCAGGGAGTCAGGATTAATAACAATCTACATATCCATGGAGACAGAACAAATACCTGCAAAAGTTGACCTAGACCATGGTTGTTGTTCATAGGTCCTATCGAGTACAATTCAGAGTGACCCTATGAACAACAGATCTGAACCCTGTCCTATCCTATGCCATCATCATTGTCATCGCTGACTTACTTGATCCCATTGCTGCAGCCAGTCATTGGGTCAATCTGTCTCATTGAGGCCTACTACCAAAATGACCTCTCTCACCTGGGGACAGGAATAAGGGGAGTTGTGTGGACATATACCCGATCACTGTCCCAGTCATCCTAGAAAATATCACAGGGAGGGTAAGCTGCCTCTTGGGCAAGTAGAGAGCTGCATTCTTTCAGAAACCACAAAATAGAATTTTGTTTCATTCATTACCTGTTCTTCCCATCCCCTACCATCATCACCCTCCATATCCTTCTTGTGGATATCCTTTTGTTATGTGTTTTCCTAAAATGTGTACTGCTACTTTGTGAGCATGAATTTTTATCTTTCATAAATGATGTTCTTAGATCTAATTATTTTTCTTTTCCACTTAAAACTGTCTTTAAGATTCAACCACATGTCTAATCCATTGCTTCCACTATGTAATATTCCATTGCTTCCGCTATGTAACATTCCATCATGTACATCCACTATTTACCATTCCATTCCCATAGTGATGGGTCATCAGCTCCCTGACACCACAAATAATGTTCAAAGGAGAATCCTCATATGTGTTCTCTTAAATCCTTGTTTAAAACTTTGGAGCAGGGGGTACATATACCTCAAAAGGAGTCTAGGTTTCAGAAATAGTTTGCACTTGACCACTAACTTAAATGTTGGCAGTTTGAGTATATTCATTTGCTCCACAGAAAGCACAGGAAATTTGCCTCTGTAAAATGGTAAAAAAATCTTATGGGAGTAAATGTTGCTCTATTCTGACACCCATGAGGTTAGTAAGAGTCAAAAGCAACAGCTAAACTCATTTATATGGTTTTTGTAAGCCATGTACCCCCTCATGAATTAGTTTTCTGTGCATGCCATGTGCCTTAATATGTACATGCATTATTTGCATGGGCATATAAAGTGAAACCATACATGAACAGGTAAGTTTTGTAATAATATCAAAAGCATTGATGGTATTTTTATAGGGGACACAAGCATTTGTTTTACATACCTGTGTTACAGTTTGTTGTTCATTATTTCAGTGGACATTACTGAGCATTGTTTTACATTAATATATACTTATAGTCAATCAGGACCTGGCGGGTGGGCCTTTGTATTTAAAAGTCAGTTGGCCTGGTGTTAATTGTGTTTGGGAAGAACATTGTTCTAAGTGGTACAGCACTGGTTTGTCAGTTTGCTGTATTGAAATAATTTGGAGTTGCTGTGATACTGAATGCTATGCCACTGTCGTATCAAATGTCATAATGGTTACCCATGGTGGACAGGGTTTGGTAGAGCTCCCAGATTAAGACAGGCTTGGAAGTAGGATTAGCATCCACTTCTTAAACAACAGGAATTTGGAAACTCTATGAACATTAGAGAAATAACAAGTTATAGAACATGGTTTAGAGCTCTTCTTCATAGAGTAGCTAGGAGTGGTGCTCAACTCGATGGCATTTAACAACATGTTTTTATGTGTTGGGAATCCATCTGTTTTCTTTTATTAGTGGTGGTCATAAGTTTTGAATTGATGAAAATTCCTGTACTCTTTCCTCCATAAATGGTATGCGATATTTAGAGTTTCTGTGCTCAAGAATCAGGTTGCTTCGAAATGTCATTGTATTGGATATACCCATGTTCCTATTCAATACTAAATCATTCAAGTTGGGATAGTACCAATAAATATCCTAGAATTTATACAAATTTAAGAGTTTTATTTATGTTCTAAACACTCAAATTCAGTCCAGTACTGTTTTGAGTTCCCAGATATTTTTCTTATTCGCATATTTGAAAAGTTTCTTTCCTTTAATGTAGTAGTAAATCTATTAAAGACATTAGCCAATAAACATTTTTCAATTAAAAATAAAACTTAAAAAAAATCCAACAGCTAAGTACCCAGGAAGGGAAATGCTGGGTCCTAAATGTACCTGTCACATTTGTTTGTGCATTGGCTGCATGAGTCAATACTGCTTCTGGAAGTCCGGGAGGGTTTTATGTGTGTCTGATTTAGGACATTGTCTTTTGAGTCACTTGCTATGCATCTGAGACCAGGACAGTGAATAAGGATGTCAGAAGAATTGATACCTTTAAATTTTAGTATTGGAGATGAGTACTGAATATCTGACTGTCAAAAGAACAAAGATATGTCTCTGGGAAAGTGCAATTAGAACGCTCCTTGAAGGCAAGGATGGCAAAGCTTCATCTCACATACTCTGGGCATGTTGCTAGAAGTTATTCCTTGGAGCAGGATATCATGCTTGGAAAGATGGAGGGTTAAGTGAGAGAAAGACCCTCAACAGGATGGACTGACACAATGACTGCAGCAATGGGCTCGAATGTCCAGAGATGATGAGGATGGCACGATAGGACAAAAAGAAATCTCATCATTGTTTTCATTTATAAATTTTCTTATACTCACTACCTTTTTTGGCTTCATCTTCTACAGTTTGTTTCTATTAATTGCCCACTTTTCTTTTGATGTTCCTGACTTTTATCTTGTTGATTTGCAGGAGTTGCTTATATTTTATTTTTTTGTTTGCATTAGTACTTTGATTTAGATGTTGTCTTCTTTCATTAATTCTTTATGTTCACGGAATCCCTCATCAAATATACAATACAGCCTGATGTCCAAGATATGTTTCTACAGTCTGTGAAGTCCCTTATCAGGGTGTAGGATTATTAAGTCACTACCCACCTCATGAAACTCAGTCACTCTTGCCAGCTGGGAGGAGGGATTCCCAGGTCAATCGTGGGCCAAAGTCCATAAAGGAAACCTGCACCATTGCCTTAGTCACCAAAAAGTTCAGAGGCAAGATAGGGATGATTGAGAGGACATTAAATGCTACCTCTTGGCTCCCTGACACCTTCTCTAAATGCCCACTGCATCTAGTCAACTTAGCAGTGAGGGTTCCAAACCTACAGCTTTCCCAAACATACCTCAGTACTATGACTAAGAATCCAACCAGAATTAAGCCACATGTTGTAGTAAAAGAAATGAGAGTAAGTCCAGAAGCCCTCAGAATAAGATGCTTTTCTTCTAAACTATGCAATTGCTCAGTAGAGAGCCTCTCAACAGCTCATTTACAAGCACTTGTGGGGGGTTTTGAGTTTTTTTTTTTAAAAAATAAACTTTTTAAAATACTGGTTTCCTTACAACGTCCACATACACTGTTTTTCACACTGGATCTTTCCCATTTCCTTAATTCACCCCTCCCTCCACCCATCAAATTGTATGACCCTATGATTACTTCCTCCCACCTATATCCTCACCCCTCTGCTCCCACCCTCCCCTTTGTTGGATTCTCATAATTGTTCTACCATGATGGTCTTATACAGTATCTGTCCATATGGGACTGAGTTAGTTTACTTAACATAATGCTTTCCAGTCCCTCCCAAATTAGGTAGTGATTTACAAAATCATTGTTTCTGCATGCTGTGTAGCACTCTATCGTGACTGTACCAAAATTTCTCAATCCATTCAGTTCTGTACAACCACCTGTTTTAACACAAAGTACTAAAATGTGTATCTCTGCAAAGTATTTGTGGAGTTTGACTATTTCCATTTCCGTTTTCTAGAACTTTTTTCCTGTTGTTTGAAGTTATTTTATTAAGGACAAAGATATTTAAGATTCTTATGGTGTTTTTGGAAGCAGGTGTGGCATCCACTTCCTAAACAATGTGCCTCCGGAAACTCTGTGAACTTTGATAAATGTTGATAGTTGTAAATGAGCTTCAGGCCTTCTGTTCATAGGGTCGCTATGAGTCGTGCTCAACTCAAAGGCAATCAACAACAACATAGATCCCAGAGGCGCACGGTTTGAATCCACCAGATGCTCTGCTGGGGAAGGAGGGACAATCTCCTCCTGTACCGGTCAGATCTGATTTGACGGTAACACACACACAAAAATAAATAAAAATTAAAAAAATAGAACAACAACATAGTCTTTTTAATAACTGGCCATTTTAACATTCTGAAATAACCTTCCTTATATCCAGTAAGGGTTGCTGTTAGGTTTTATTCCCTCCTCTGAAATATGCATTGCCTAAGGAAGCTTTGGTGGCCTAGTGGTGAGAAGCTTTACTGTAATCCTGAAGGACAAAGTTCAAATCCACCAGCGGCTCTGCAGGAAGATAGGCAATCTCCTCCCAAGCAATTAACTGCCTCTGAACACCCACTGGAGGGTCAGCTATGGGTCAGTTCCAACTTGATGACAAACAAAATTAGTAAAATAGAACACATTTTATCCTTTGACTCATCTATATTTAATCCTTCATTGTTAATTAAGTGCCATCAAGTATGACTTACAGCAACCATAAAAACAATAGATCTGAACCCTGTCCTATCCTGTGCACCTTTGTCTTCTCTGATATACGTGATCCCATTGCTGCAGCCACTGTGCCAATCCATCTCATTGACAGTCGTCTTCTCTTTGGTCTTGTAATTTTAAAATCCACCCTAAGAACAGTTCATTTTATGCTTTAGACTGTTGATATTTAATGTAAGCAGTAATATGGTTGAATTTAGGTTTGGTTTTCTTGCTTCAAGCAAGGACCTGGGACAGAATTAGCACCTGCTTTTCTTTTATTTCAGATTAAGTTCAGTGCGGCCTGGAAATGCTCTGAAAACCCAGTTCCAGTTTACACCAACACACGTGGGACTCCAGAGATTAACAGTGGAAATGGACTGCAATATGTTCCAGAACCTAACCAACTACAAAAATGTCAGGGTGGTAGACCCTGAACATCCAGCTTAAAAAACCAGCTGCTCAACTGCCCTTCTCCCCCAGCACACTCAATGCAGCTACAATCTTAAAGCAAATGCACTAGGAGGGGAAACTTCACCTACCAGACAAATGAATCTCAATATTCATGTGAAGTAGAAGAATGACTAAAGCAGAACTAGATTGCTATCAATTTGTCAACCCAGCTCAAGACCACCAAAAGACCCAGTGTTTAGAATAGAAACTACTAGATTTGAATAATAAGGATGCCTTTGAAATGGTGTTCATTCAAATTTTTAAAATTCACAACCATTTTACTGTATACTAGTACAATCATTAACCATAGGTAGAGAAAGATCCTAACATTTAAATCATTCTTTTATACCTGCTGAAGTTGGTAGTATTAGCCAAAAGTGGAATTTTTAGGTAATAATACCAAAATTATACTAATGATTGTTATTATTAATAGATGATTGAACAAAGTTCTAAAATATACAACATAATGAGAGCATCTGACTTTGTAGATTCAGCTACAGAGAAATGTTTATTCAAATCCTATGTTCATTAGCCTTCACATAACTAGTCTGAGAAATAATGAATTTAGCCCAGTCAGGAAAATAAAATATTAAGTGTATATAAAATGGGCTCCATAAAGAAAAAGAACTTTCTATTAAAACAACTATGAGATATCATCTCACGTCAGTCATAATAGCAAAATTTAACAGAACAGCAAGCAACAAATGATGGCGAGGTTGTGGAGAAACTGGAACCCTTATTCACTGTTGGTGGGAGTGTAAAATGGTGCAACCACTGTGGAAGGTGGTGTGGCACTTCCTCAAAAGTTGTAAATAGAGATACCCTTTGACCCAGCAATTCCACTACTGGGAATATACCTTAACGAGGCCATAACTGGCATCCAAGCAGATATATGCACACCCATGTTTATTGCGGCTTTGTTCAAAATAGCAAAGAGTTGGAAACAACCTAAGTGCCTATCAACAAACAAATGGATAGAGAAGCTGTGGTATATTCACACAATGGAATACTACGCTGCATTGAAAAACAAGGAACTCATGCAATATTATACAAAATGAGTGACCCTGGAGGACATTATGCTGAGTGAAGTATCTCAGTCACAAAAGGACAAATAGTGCATGGTGCCACTGTTGTAAAACAGGACTGACATTGGGGTGGGGGGCAGACTGAGAAAAATGGGTTCAATAATGTATACTGCATTGAAATAAATGAGGGAGAAAACTTTAAAAGGGATATGTGATTATGTATTTTTGTCATGACAGGGGTCTAGGGCGAAGCCTGCAGAGTGGAGTGGACCTGGGGGAGGGTTTGTAAAACAATGAAAGAATTTTCCTTTTACTTTTCCAAGAGGGTAGTGTACTAGGGGGGAGGGTTGGGAGGGGACAAAAGTGCAACAATGAATGAGTGGAAATCCAAAGTCTCTGTAAATTTTCATTGAAATTAATAATAAATTTTAAAGAAAAAGAACTTTCTGTAGGTTTTTTTTTTGCTTTGGTTTTGTTTCAGCACTAGTTTGATTTCAGAATAAGTTCTTCACTTAAGGTATTTGTTAAATGCATAGAGTAACACTTTTTACAAAATTATAGCCATTTAGCTTAATGAATTTCAACATAAGCACATATTAATCACTCAAAAGAATAACTATTCCTTCTGGCTAGACCTAAATCAACCAAGGATACATCAGAAAGTCAGATGTGGTGAATTACACTGATAGAAGGGAGATAAATGGCATTAGAGGTAATAAATTCCTGTATGTCATTGAAATATCCATTCCTATAAGTTTCTTTTGTTTCTCAATATGTGATCTTCCAGAATGATATGAAAAAAGAATTTAAGTGGCAATAATTTTGTAATAGGAATAACTGAAAATGCTCTTAAAATGATATGAACTGTCTTATCTGTTACTTTTTTATTTACAAAAACTGGTATTTACTTTTGGGGATTCTGAAGCTCTGTCTGACATACTTTGACATTTTGCAAGGAGGCATCAGTCCTTAGAGAGGGACATCATGCTTGGATGGATCGAGGGACAACACAAGAGAGGAAAACCCTAGATGAGGTGGATTGATTCAGTTACTGGGGTAATGAGGGTAGGTGTGTCAGAGATGATGAAACTGGCTCAGGACAGGGAAGGTTTCATAACTGTTGTATATAAGGTCGCTATGAGTTAGAGTTTATGCAACAATAATAAACAGCAAAAACAATAAAAGTATTTATAAGTTAAAAAATCTATTCAATAAATTGGACAAGCCTAAACAACCAATCCAACGCAAAAAAGAGTTTTTGAGGCTGGAATAAGTTGGAATAACATTCAAAAGTACTTACCAATAAGAATAGTAACATAGAACACACTGAAATGCTAAGAGCACTATGGAGTAATTTTTTTTTCAGTGTTCAAGCACTTTATTAAGTCAGATAGGGAAACTCCATATTGTTGAACATACTAGCTTGTTACAATCAAGTGGATGTCACTTGTTTACAAAGAGAAAGCTGGCAAGTCTAGTTGCTCATCTTCAGCAGTGAAAAGTTCTGTAACATTCACAGGACAATGGACAATAAAGGTTAAACAAAACTTAGAACAGAATCATGACAGATCTCACACAATTCATCCTTTACTTTGGAAATGCACATATATCCTTATCTATAAAAATGACCAGGCTGTTACTAGCTAGATACACATTTCATTCAGGTATATTAACTTTATTGCCTGGAGTAATTTTTTAAATGAATAACTTTAATTTAAAATAAACTTCTGATGAGAATCAGACCTTTACGCCTATAAACTCAGATGAAAACAATGTCCTAGTCTCAATCCATTTGCATTTCCAATAGAAAGAAACTTTAGACAATCATTTTACCTCTTGTTACTATTTCACTGAGACCATCAGAATCTTCAACAGTAATAAATCTTATTGCAAATTGAAAAAATACATAAGAGAACTTATATATGGAGGCAAAAGGTTTTACTATGATATATTCAACAAGAGTTTAATTTCTAAAATGCATAGCAAACATTTGATAGGTTTTATTTTCTTGTCGAGTATCAGTAGATAGACTGTATATAGATGGGTCCATTTCTGGGTTCTCAATTCTTTTCCATTGGTCTATATGCCTATCATTGTACCAGCACCATGCTATTTTGCTTACTACCGCTGTGGAGTAGTTTTTTGAGGTAAGGGAGTGCTAAGCCTCCACTTCATGTTTGTTTTTCAGTAGTTCTTGGCTTATTTGGGTCTCTTTCCTCTCCAAATAAACTTGGCAATTTCCCTTTCAATCTCCTTGAAAAATGAATGTGGTATTTGTACTGGGATTGTGTTGTTTTTGTGTAGATTGTTTTTTACAGGACTGTCTTTTTTACAATATTGAGTCTTCCTATCCATGAACAGGGAACATTTTTACATTTATTTAGGTTTTTTAAAATGGTGCTGGCAAAACTGGACTCCTAATTGCAGAAAGGTAAAACAGGATCCACATCTCACACCATACACAAAAATCAATTCAAGGTGGGTCAGTGACCTGAGAGTAAGGCCCCCATAAAGTTCGTAAGAGACAAACTGGTTTCAAGCTTGGAAGGCTAGTCTACGGTGTGAAGAGATGCCAAATGCAGCCAGAAATGGCACACTCTGAAGAAGATTAAATTGATGAATGGTACCTTCTAAAGATTAAATCTGTGTAGTCAACAAAAACTTTTTCCTACAGGGTGAAAAGAAAACCTACTGATTGGGAACAGAACAAACATTTGGCAACACCATCTCAGAGAAGGGTCCATAACAAAAGTTTAGAATACTCCTGGGCCTTCAGAAAAGACTGATAATCTGATTGCAAAATGGGCAAGAGACATGGAAAGTACTTTTAACAGAGGAGGGCAATTCCAGACACATGAAGCAATGCTCAAAATTGCTAGTACTAAGAGTGATACAAATCAAAACCACAATGAGATACCATCTCATCCTGTAGCAATGGCAACGTTTAACAGGGCATCAAGTAATAAATATTGGAGAGGATGTACCAAGAAAAGAACTCACACATTGTTGGTGGGATTGTAAAATAGTACAATCACTGTGGAAGGCAGTTTGGTGTTTCAAAAACCTGAACAAAGAAATTCCATATGACCCAGCTATTCCACTGCCTAGAATATACCCTGAGGAAATGAGAACTGAGGCACAAACAGAGCCTTGTACACAAATGTTCATAGCAGCGTTATTTACCATCACAAGTACGTGGAATCGGCCCTAATGTTCAACCACAATGGAATGGATTGAGAAATTATGGTACATTTACACAGTGGAATACTATACAGCATACAGATGCAATGATTTTATAAATTACTACCTAACTTAGGAGGGACTGGAGAGCATTATGCTGAGTGAACTCAGTCCCAGAATGACAAATACTGTATAAGACCATTATTATAGAATGTGTATCAGGATCCAAAATTGGGGTGGGGGGAGATGGATGAGGATGAGGGAGGCTCAATCATAGGGTCACACAGTTTGATGGGTGGAAGGAGGAGTAAAAGAAAAGGGAAAGATCTGGTGTGAAAAACAATGTATATGAACTTTGTAACTAAGCCCGTATAAAACAAAAATTTTGTATTAAAAAAATGTCTAGCAAACATCAACATCTCAACAAAAGACAACAATCCAATTAAAAAAAATGGTCAAAGGGCATGAACATTTTACAAGAGACAACATTCAGACAGCTAACAAACACATGAAAAGGTCAACATTAACCATTGTTGTTGCTAAGTGCCATCAAGTTGGCTCCCATTCACAGCAACTCTCTGTGTAACAGAATGATACACTACACAATCCTCATGGCTGTACTTAAGCACACTGTTAAAGGCACTGTGTCAATCCATTTTGCTTAGTCTTTCTCTTTTTCACTGACTCTCTACCAATCATGTCTTTCTCTAGGGATTGAGAAATCAAACTTCCAATGGTCTTCCTATAATTTCACCTTGGCAATAAGAGAGTACTCATCAAAGACACAGAGAACAACAAATGGTGGGAAGGTTATGGCGAGGTCAGAACTCTTATACACTGCTGGTCTGAATGTAACATGATACAGTCACTGTGGAAAACAAAACTATTTCTTTAAAAGGCAGAAATAAAAATACTTTATAATTGAGCAATCCTACTCTTAGGTAAACAGCCTAGAAAAATGAAAGCTATGACATGAACAGATATATGCACATCAAATTTACTGCAGTACTGCCAATAGCAAAGAAATTGGAAATACTCAAGTGTACATTAGTGGATGAATGAACAAAAACTGTAGTACATGCATACAATGTAGTATTATATACAACTATAAACAGTAATTGGTGGAATACCAACTGAGATATTTTAACAAACAGATGCAGTCCTGAATGTGCTCATCAGGTTGTACCAAGATATCTGGAGGACAAGATACCTGGCCAATTGACTGAAAGAGCTTGGTATTTATTCCTATTTTTAAAAAAAAATTATCCAACAGAATGTGGAAATTATCAAACAATATCAGTAATATCACAAATAAGCAAAATCTTGCTAAAGATTATCCAAAAACAACTAGAACAGTATATTGACAAAGAACTGCCAGAAACACAAGCTGGGTTTGGAAGAGGCTGTGGCACTAGGAACATCATTGCAATTATCAAATGAATCTTGTCTGAAAGCAAAGAGTATCAGCAGAAATGTCTATTTGTGTTTTATTGTCTATGTAAAGATGTTTACCTATGTAGATCATAACAAATTGTGGCTAACACTGAGAAGAATGGGAATCTCAGGACACTTGATTGTGTTCATGTGAAACCTGTTCTTAGACCAGGAAGAAGTCATTTGGATAGAACAAGGAAACACCGCATGGTTCAAAAGCAACAAAGGAATGCATCAGGGATGTGCCCTTTCTCAATATCTTTTCAATCTATATGCAGACCATATCATTCAGAAGGCTGGACTTTATAAGAAGGAATGTGACATTACTCTTGAAGAAGATTCAACAACTTGTGTTATGTAGATGACACCTTCCTTGCTGAAACTGAAGGGGACTTGAAGCATTTGCTGCAGAAAAGTCAAGGACAGCAATCTTCAATATGGATTGAAGTTCATACAAAAAGCAAAGATTCTCACCACTGGGCCAACTGGCAGCATCATGACAGATGGAGAAGAGACTGAGATTGTTAACAATTTCATCTTGCTCAAGTCCACAGTCAACATTCTTGGCACCAGCAGTTAGGAAATCAAAAGACGAGCTGCGTTGAGAAAATATGCTGTCAGGAACTTCTCCAGAGTGCTGAAAAGCAACAATGTCAGTCTAGAGACTAAGGTACACTTGATCCAGGCCGTGGTCTTCACAATTACTTGCTGAGCATCAAAGAAATGGACAATGGCTAAGAGTGACAGAAGAAGAATCAATACCATTGAGTTGTGGTGCTGGAGAAGAGTACTGAATATACCATGGACTGTCAAGAGAATAAACAGGTCTGTCTTGGAGAGGGTGAAACTAGGCTGCTCCTTAGAGGCAAGTATTTTGAAGCTCCATCTGACATACTTTGGGCATGTGACCAGGAGCAATTAGTCCTTGGAGAATGACAGCATACTTGGAAGACTGGTGGGACAGCACAAGAGAAAAAGACCTTGGATGAGATGGATAGACATGGTAACTGTGATAATGAGGGTAAGTGTGTCAGAGACAGTAAAAATGGCTCAGGTTAGGGCAGAATTCAGAGTTAGTATTCATAGGAACGATTTGAGTCACAGACAACTCGATGGCACATAACAATAACAATAATAATGACAAGTCCATGAGATACCTCACAACATGGATGAACCTGAAAGACATACTGAATGACATAAGTCAAATACAAAAGGGCAAATACTCTGTGAGACAACTATTATAAAAAGCCAAGAAGAGGTTAACACACAGAAAGAAAGTCTTTGATGGTTACCAATAAAAGGGACAAGAGTAAGGGAAAATTAATATGGTTAATTCTGGTAAAGGAAAAGGCAATACACAGTATGGAGGAAATTAACACATTACCAAGACAAAGGAAGATAGAGTATATAAGAATAACAAGTACACAAAATCTTGTCTCAATAAATCCTTTGGAGTAAAAAAAAAAAAAAAAAAAAAAGGATAACAAATAACTACAGTAAATACTGTAACATACATAATCATGCAACAAAAGCAGTGACTAACAATTTGTTAGTAGATACATAAGTAAACAGGAGCAATGGTGGCCCAGATGAGGGAGGTTGTACAACTAGCAAAACAAAGTTCATAAATATTCTGTGACTTAGGTCTGGTGAGTAGTTAAAAACTTGCAAGCACTCATCTAAGAATACTGGTCTCAACTCTACAAAGAAACAAAAACCCCAAATATGCCAGGAAGTAATTAGTCTAAAGGACTAACAACACATGAATCACTTCCCCATCTAACCTGAGACCAAAAGAACCAGCTGGTGACTGGCCACCACACCAAGTAAGATCACAATGGTGGTCCCAGTTAGAATGGGTGAAAAATGTAAAACTGAAGAAAAAAGCAAAAAATGGATCAGACTTAGTGATCTGAAAAAAGATTAGAGGAACTCCCAAATTACTGCCCTGTGACAGTCTTCTTCATTGAAAGTGGAGACACTCCCAGGAGCTAACTTTCAGCCGAAATAATGACTGTAAACAAAATAACAAGAGTGTGCTCCTTATAGCAATCTTAAACGAGTTCTAATAATGTGCTCCTGAGAAAAATCAACACATGAAACCCAAAGGATAACAACTGCCCAAACCCAAAGAGAAGACAAGGAGGTGCAGAAACTAGACAAACCCAAATGGAGAACCCAGGGAGGAAATCAAGAGAGTACTGACACATAGGGTAGACTGCAAACAACATCAGCACAATCTGTGTGCGGACTAGTGATTGGAAAACCAATTTACTATGTATAATATCACCAAAGGCACAGTAAAGAGTTTTTAAAAAGTAACAAGAGGAGGGAGCTCTGGTGGCCAAGTGGCAAGAAGCTCCACTGCAATCCCAGAAGTACATGGTTTGAATCCACCAGATGCTCTGCCGGGGAAGGAGGGACAATCTCCTCCGGTACCAGTCAGATCTGATTTGATGGTACACATACACAAAATAATAATAAAATAAAAATTTTAAAAAAACTAACAAGAAAAAATTGTAGGAGAGAATTACCCTGGATATATCTGGGGTGCAACTATCCTCTGCATCTTGCAGAGAAAAATACATCACACTCATATGGTTTATAAATAACTGCCAGTCTGGCTAAAACAACAACTTTGGTAATGATATTTCTTGTTATATAGACAGAAACTTCCTTTTGATACATAAAGAATTCTGGCATAATTTTATTTTATTGTATTAATGTGTGTTTGTGTTTAGGAAAAGTTATTTACTTTGTTCACTTCAATTAAAATTTTGCAGAATCATTTCAATAATTCCTACAATATGATTCATAAATAATGATTATTTAATATCCAATACATGACTAATAGCCAATAAAATCTAGCTGTTTTTAAAGCAGACATCAGTGGCTGGATGTGACACTGAAAGATGGAGAGAGGAGACTACAAAAGCCTGAAAAATCATAATTCAAGTTCACTCTGTGTGAGTTCTTTGATTCTGTTCATGCAATGATCAACGGCATTAATCAGTAACGGGATCCAACTATCTTCTGGCTGAGGGGCCACATGACTTGCTCTGCAAAAAGAATACAGGATAAAAGGACATTAAATGTATTATAGTGTTGAGGAAAACACTAACCCCAAAAGGAAGCACAAAAGAAACTATAACAAGAAAAGGTAAGTTTCTCTGCAGAAGTTCAACTGAAGTAGAAAGAAAATCCCACCTCGGCTATCTTGCACTTCCTGAAATAGACGTATAGGAGCTAAGAATGGCTGGATAAAAATATAAAATAATTCTAACGAAATTCTCATACTCACTTTGTAATTTCAAGTGTCTTCTTTAAAACAGATACAAGTTTTGCAGACTAGAAAAGAAACACAAGTTAATCACACTGAGCACCACCATAAAAAGGAGGAGAAAGTCCCTCTTAACCCACTGTCATTGAGTTGAAACAAAGTCATAGCTGATGTTCCCCCGAGTTTCCAGAGGCTGTAAAATGAGAGGGAGATTGCCCTTCTTTCTCCCTCAATGCCCCCTGTGGATTCAAACCACCAGAGGTACCACCTTCAAGTTAGAAGCACAATCCCCTATGGACTATACCACTCAAGATACCCTATAAAAATGAAAGGAGAGCTAAAATATTAAAATAACTCAAGTAACACAAAACATAAAGCAAATAAAAAACCTTAAAATAAGCATGCAAAAATAAGAATGCTGTATTTGTTCTAACTGCTAGTAATAAAGAATATAAAGCAGATTTTTTTAAAAAGCCATGTACAGAATTTCATGAATATCAAGATACACAGGAATATGCATAGGCCACTAGTATAAGAGGCACATACAGTACATGTATGGATTAAACCACAAAGCACATAGCGAAAAATGCTTACTTATTATTAGGTACCATCCAGTTAACTACCACTCATAGAAACTTTATGAACAACAGATCTGACCTTGCCCTATCCTGATATTATCTGCACCAATTCTGGTGTATTCAAGTCTATTGTTACAGTAACTGTGTCAGTGAAGATCTTCCTCTCTTTCTCTGACCCTATCTCTGCCTGACTGTTCCTAACAACATGATCAAATATATAAGGTGAAATTTCTCCATCCTTGACTCTAAGGAGCATCCTGGTTGCAGTTTCTCCAAGGCAGATATTTTGTTATTCTGGTAGTCCAAAAGGATATTCAGTAACCTTCTCCAATACCACCATTAAAGACATCTATTGTGTCATTATTACTGATTAACATTAATATGCATAAGAAGTACCAAAAGATCATGGCTTGGAGCAGGCACACCTTAGTCTTTAACCTGACATCTTTAATCTTTAGCACTATGAAGAGGTCCCTGACAGATTTTCCCAATGCAATACATCTTTTGATTTCTTGGATGCTGTTGTCATTGATGTTGACTGTGAATTCAAGCAAGATGAAATCATTAACAACTTCAATCTTTTCTCCATCTATCATGATTTTGCCTCCTGATTCAGTGAAGATTTTTTGTTTTCTTGATATTGAGATGTAATTCATATTGAAGGTATAGTCTTTGACGTTCTGCGGTAAGTTCTAGAAGTCTTTATTTTTTGCAGGCAAGACTGTATCATCTTGATAATTACAGGTGTTGATGAGTCTTTCTCTAATCTTGATGCCGCATTATTCTTCATTTAGGTTAGCTTCTCAAATGATTTGCCTAGCATACAGACTGAATAGATATGGAGAAAGATGCAATGTTGATGCACATTATTCCTGATTATAAACCATGCAGTGTTCTCCTGTTCTGTCCAGTCTATGTACAAGTTTCACATGAGTACAATTAAGTGTCTGAGATTCCCACTCTTCTCAATGTTAGCCATAAAATTTGATATGATTCAGAGAGTCAAATGCCTTTGCATACAGTCAATAAGACACAAAAAACCCTTGGGTATTTTCTAGTTTCAGCTGAGATTCATCTGACATTAGCAATGGCATCCCTTGTTCCATGGCCCCTTCTGAATCCAGCTTGAGTTTCTGGTAGTTTCCTGTCAATGTACTGTTGTAGGTGTTTTTAAAGTCAACTTTTTTAAATACAAATGAAAAAAAAATCTTTTAAATTTCACAGTGTATTTGTACATTGTGGTGATCAATTACATTAATTTATAAAATATTACTAGAAGATTTTTCTTTCCAAAAATGTTAGAAGAATTTGAGGGGTATGAACTAGCAAGAGGCACAATATTTGAAAAGAAAATTTAATCTTGGACCTCTGTGATCACCCAGTATTAAATTAACCAGTATTAAATCAACCAGTATATTAGAATCAAGTTTCTGGAACACTTATTTCTGCCTAAATTAGAAATTTAAAGTTATATCTTCAGATTAAGAAGTTTTGTCGCTTTTTTGTTTTCAATATCCATAAGCACTTGATTACAGATCTATCTGGGAGGACAGTGAGATTCTCCTCAACAACTGCCTCAATTAAGCCGTTTTTAAAGCATGGTACACAGCAACAACATGAGGGAGATCTGGTGAACTTGTGAGAGCTGAAATCACAGCAGGAGAGCCACGAAGTGAAGAGATTTTTTTTAAAAACTTGGATGGTTTCCCAGGACTTTTCCCCCCACTATCTCTCAATTCCCACTTTCCAAAAATACAATGTAACTTCAGAAATTTCCCTAACTGTCATAAGGTTTGAAGCAACTGTCAGAATGCTCACCGCCCCTTAGGAAACAAGGCTGTTTTACTTTCCAACTTTACAGTCCTTGTAAGCCATTTTGTTCACAGCAAATTAGCTGTTCCAGATTCCCAGTCACTGTCAGTATGAACTTTGTTAAGAAGTGTAAGAAAATGTTTTGATTTGGGGGTGGTTTTTTTCCTTGTTTGTCTGCCTGTCATTCTTAACGTTCCTCCTTTATTAAATACCAAAGTCATTTTGAAAAAAAAAAGGGTTCTTAAATCACAATGGTAATTAAGACTTTTGTTTCAAAGCAACATTTTCTAAGGTCTCTGGGTCTTTCTAGAGGGTTACCCAACTAGTTATAGAAAACTATCAAAGCTCATAGCTATAATGATTCAACTTCAGCAAATGTATAATATATGCAACCACTATGAAGTTATACTGTACTTCTACCAATTGTACTCTAGTGAAATATGTACTAGTAAATAGGAGAATTCTACTGATCAGGTCTGTAGCTATTGGCTCAAAGCAAGTACTTACATTCATTCGCACAGTCAGGTGACACATTGGTGGATATATGCTCAGAGCCAAATCATCAACACTAAGAGCATAAAACAAAAATAATCATGAATGAAAAAGGAAGCAAAACACAACTAGTTGTACACCAATGTTCATAGCAGCATTACTCACAATCGCAAGAATATGGAAATAACCCAAATGTCCAACCACAATCGAATGGATTAAGAAATTATGATACAGTCACACAGTGGAATTACTACCTAATTGGGGTGGTCTGGAGAGCATTATGCTAAGTGAACTAATTCAGTCCCAAAATGACAAATACTGTATAAGACCATTATTGTAGAAATAGATGTGTATGAGGATCCAAGAGGGGAGGCCGGGGCAGAGGAGTGAGGATGGGTAGGAGGGTAATCATAGGGTTGTACAATTTGAAGGGTAGAGAAAGGGGTGGGTAAATGAAATGGGAAAGATTTGGTGTGAAAAACAAGGTATATGAACTTTGTAGTAAACCTGTATAGAATAAAAATACTATTTAAAAAAAAAAACACAAACAAACTCACACACAACAAAACCCAAAGAAATACAGCTGGGTTGTTTCTAAGGATGAAACTAATAATCTCAGAGATGTCTTAAATTGAGAAGCCAGGCAACCAACAAGAATCAATTCAACAAGCACTTAAAGAACATATACATGCCCTGGTTTTCTGGGAAGCTGGGGTGGGAAGTGGGGACACTATTTTAGTTATAGGAATGACTGATTCAGAAAAAAATGTATGAGTCTCTGAAACCATCAACTTAGTAACTGACATAAGTAAGGTTTATCACAGGAAACTAAATCACTGGCTAAGAGGTACATTTACTTTTACACTAGCAGGTACAACTTTAACCAAATGTTCAAATTTAGTATTAACAAAAAATGGGATAAACTAATATGCTATTGTGAAGTAATAAACACAAAAAAAATTTTATCATCTGGTATTCTGCAGTGAAAATTAACCCAATCAATCATATGAGTTAGACTGTTGGATAGTCTAGGCAGTCTAAAAATGTCAATGTCAAGAAAGACTTTATAGTGGGTGAAAGGGTGTAGGGTTGGAAGACTCTAATTCAGAGATGACTAAAACCGAAGATAACCACCCAAGGGAATGTGAGATCATGACCAAATTTAGATTTTAAAAAAAGACTACACAAGACATTCTAAGAAACAATTGGAGACATTTTAATATTATACTGTATTCAATATTCAATTTCTTAGATGTGATAATTATATTGTGTTCATGTAGAAAATGTATCTGTTCTTAGATACATGTTGAAGCATTTACAGATGAAATTGTATTGCTGTCTGTATTGTGCAGTGAATTATTTAATATGGTCCTTCTAGCCATGGACTGAATTCTACTAACATTGTTAAGAGAGTGTTTGCCTGGTGGTGTGACTCTACCAGCAGGTCTGAGAAAGAAAGATGGGCAGTTTCCCCGTCTTTACACTGACAGTCTTGGAAACCTGATGGAAGGCTGATATGAGCTGGAACTGATGGCAGTCTGTTTGATTTTGCTTGTTTTTTGAGATAGGGGTTTAAAAAAATACCCCCCTGCCGCAAAAAAAAACCTCAACAAGAATGTTGGTGGCACAGTGCATTATGTGTTAGGCTTTTTTTAAATTATTTTATATTGGTTTGCTTACAAAGTTTGTATACACTATGTTTCACACTATCCTTCATTAACATTGAATTTCATACAATCATTCCCATGTATTACATTTTATAAAATTAATCATCACTGAACTATGCCACGATTACCCTGTCTTTCCAGATCCCCACCAGATCTTTTACATCTCCTTTACCCCCTCTATCCAGCCACCAAATTGTGCGACCCGATGATTTCCCCCCTACCCCCTACCCTCCTTATCCCTCTGCTCCCACCTCTCCCTTCCTTGGATCCTCATACACGTGTTACTAGATATCTATTTCTACAATAATGGTCTTATGCAGTATTTGTTCTTATGAGAGTGAGTTATTTCACTTAGCGTAATACTCTCCAGTTTCTCCCAAGTTAGGTAGTAATTTTCAAAATAGATGCTCCTTAGTGCTGTGTAATATTTCATCATGTGAATGTTCTTTAGTTTCTCAATTTGGGCTGCTAATTTAAAGATCAGTGGTTCAAATCTACCAATGGCTCACAAGGACAAGATGGAAATTTACTATTTCTGAAGATTAACTGCCTCAGAAATCTGACGGAGGATCACATGAGTTGAAATAAACTGTATTATAGCAGTGGCTTTGACCATATATGGCCTTCTAAGTCCCAAATATGACTGAATGGAACTATTCAAATAAAGTGTGACCTAAAGAGGGAACTGGACATCCTGCTATTAAGATGAAGGAGGAGTATGGAATTCTTGGTAGCGGATCTGAGACCATGCACAGAACAAGAGAGTTAAGTGGCTTCGATCAGGAGGCTTGCAAGTAGAGTGGGTTGCCTCCAGGTGATGGAAATAAGCTCACCAATCCACAGAGTAAAGGCAGGAGGGATTGAAAAGAGAGTGAGAGAGCTGAGCATGAACTGGATCTTACTGGCTGAGTCAGGTATCTCTAGGCACTTCATGACAGAACTAAAGAACTGTCTATGCATAAACTAGGCCGAGGGGTCAAGAGACTAAAGGGCTGAAGGCTCAGAAACCTGCTTGCAAGAAGCTGTCCTGACTGAAGAAGTGTATTATGAGTCATTATTGATCCCGCATTGTAACCCATGATTTCCCTAATAAATTTAGTAACTGAATAATCCATAAATTCTGTAAACCACTACAGTGAATAATCAAACCTAGAAGAGAAGTAGGGACTGCCATGGGAGGGAGACTGGTGCTGGAATTGGTAAAAGGCAGAAGGCAGAAGTACGTTTGACCTGCACCTTATAACAATCAGCCTTGGACTGATGGTCTTGATTCTCTCTCCTCATCCCTGTCAAGTTATACCAGGAGGTCTGATGCAACCACACCATTTTTAAAGTTTGTCACTTACTCTTAAATTGTCTAGGGGAAGGAGGAGAGGAAGAAAAATGCATTTACAGGAAAAGAAGGCAATATGGAAAGATATATGAACAATTAGTGGCTCTAGATGAAGGATAAATGGGTGTTCAACTGCATTACTTTTTCAACTTTTCTGTAAGTCTGAATGCTTTGAAAATCAAAATTGGGGGAATACATTGAGGTGACAGTACAGCTGAGACCAGAACAAGACTGCTTAGGCATCTAAAGTGAGATACGGGCTTACCTGGGGCTGATCTCATCAGAAACGTCCACAATGTCATCCAGCTGAGCCACCTGGTCCTTCTTCCCTTTCTCTGCCACTAAGATCCTGATTTTCTTCAGGCTGGCTTTGGATGCCTTCACCAGTGCGAGGCATGGGATTATGAGCTCCTGATCATCCTCTGACCAGTATGCATCTTGATTGTTTGGAAACCCCAAAGCACCCTCCCCAGCATCATTATGATCATTCCCAAGGCTGTCCTCAGAGTCATTCAAGAGGCCAGAGTAAGGGTCACATTCTTCCACAGCCTAAAACAAATGATGATATATAAAATAAGAGAAGCCCATCATGTGCTCTATTTCTGATTTGTACAAAAACCTCAGCCATTAATGGTCAGAGGGTTGCATCACTCCAAAGACTGTGTTCTCACACTCCTATTGGAGCAATAGAAAAGGGGGAAATGGAACTGGACTATACACCATCATGGGGCGTGAGCTGGGAAACAAGATGGGAATAAGGATGGGATGTATTCAGTCAATGCTCAGGAAATATCTTTTTATAATTCTCATTCACTCATCATGGAGTTGTTTTCCAATGATCAGCATAGCCTTACCTGCTCCATTTCTTCATGTGCATCCTTCACAAAATCCACACTCTTGGTCAGCATTAAAAGGGCAGCAGCTTTGTTATCTGTGCGTTAAAAACAAGAAACATTAGCATTAGAAGAAAATGTCAACAATTCTATTAAAAAGGCAAAAAGCAACCACAGAAGGGAGTACTAAAGAGAATAAACAAAATCTATGGTTTAATAAAAATTTCTTCTCACTCACATTGCTTGGGTCTGCAAAGATAAGGCTAAAAAGCTTTATTTCCTCTAAGAAGAAGTACAAGGGTGATTTATCCCAAAAAGAAAGAAAAGGGTCATGCACTGTTTCTCATCATGGTCCTCTTGGACAAACACTGCTTTTGGCCTACCTGGCTCTACCTCATAACTGCTTCACTGTGTCTCAAAACAGTGCTCCTGGATCAGATCAGAAAAACAAACCACAAGATACGGAGCCATAGTAGGAGGGAATTTAAATTTAGAAGTATGAGAATCAAATACTGGTAAAAAGTATTAATATCTATCTTCTGATGTTGGTGATACTCTATATGTTTCACAAAAATCCTTACGTAAGTTAAAATACATGCATGTCACCAAGCTGGAAGCTGGGCATAAGGCGAATTCTCTTTTTTGGCCAATAACATCAGTGTCCTGGCCCACTTCCCCTTCTCACCTACCTCGTGGTATGTGAGACACCTCCTGGCAGGCAGTCAAGACACTGTTACAGGAAATGAGGTCCTTGTTCTCAGGGCTAGAGAGCGAAATCAATAAGTATATGTCAATAATCTAGGTTGTTGTCAACTTAGAGCATTCCTTCCCGCTGGATGTTACTCCTATCTATTGGTAGATTTGCTGTTAGATTCCGTTTTCCCCCTCATTTAGGCAAAGGACCCCATTAGGTGATAATCCAAGTGGTGGCAGCCTTACCTCTGAGCAGGAGCACTACAAAGCACTTCCACAAGCTGAGCCATGCTATCCACAATGTCTAGTATGGCGGCCCGTACTAGCTTCCGCAGGGTGGTTCCTATGGCAAACGCAAAGAGTAAGTAGTCTTGGTCTTCTTTTCAGAAGTCATAACCTGCTTTCCTAAGAGTCTAAGTGTTACAGATTTATGAGCTAACATGCATCCATCTCCTTTAACTGGAGTGCTCAACACAAAACTCACACCTTATTAATATCCCTATGTCATCTTTTTACTCCTCTCATTATTCTGTAGTGTTATCGTCCAAAAGATATCTAGAACAAATCTTCCCGTAACAGCCACATATTCATTTATGAAGGGCAGGAGTTCTTTGACAAATGTGGATGAAACTGAAAGTCTAAACCGTATGGGGGCAACTCTGAAGATTTATAGTAGTATTTTTTTTTTTATTAATTTCAATGAACATTTACAAAGATTTTGGATTTCCATTCATTCATTGTTGCACTTTTCTCCCCGCCCACCAGGCAGGAAAGAGCTTGAAAAGAGGATGTGATACAATGTGGGTGGGAAAGAGCAGTCAAAGCAAAGGTTCACATACAGGGCTGACATCCAGCCAGTGGCTGTAGCAGTCAGAATGGGTTGGACAGAGAAGAGCCAGTAAGAAGAATAAAGAGCCTTAGAATAGAACAAGACAGGGAATATTGGGAGAAACAGGGGACAAGGCATCCATACCTTCACGTGGCTACTTGTTGAGAGACGACACATTATTAAATTATTCTGATCTGCATTTTATGGGGGGAAGGTGCATGCTCAAATTGAGATGAAGGTAAGGCTCAGGACATAATCTATCATGTTAGCAAAGATTATACCCTATGAACTGAACACTTATGTGTACTCAGTGGCTTACTTACCCTGATCCTTGGGAAGTAAATAGTACACTGCAATCACTGTTTCTATGGCAAAATGGACTTGCTCACAGAACCTCTGAGTTTCCTGTGAGGAGAGAGACCAAATTCAGAATGAACGTGGGAAAAAGATTAGACCAATAGGATTAATTTATCTAATGTAGAAAAGAGCAGACATTTGTACAACATAATTAAATATTTTCTGATATGTAATACCTTGTGTTATAGTCATCATATTCCAGGGAGGAGGTAGAGACACTAAGGATACCATTCCATAAAAGATAAAGAAACAGCAGGAAAAACTTATCCTGAATCTACTCTATTCCAACATGATGATCTACTATCAGGTATTCACTATAGTTGACAACTACAGTACTTTGGCTCACAGGCCAAATCAAGCCTACTGTCAATTTTTATTATTAAAGTATAGTAAAACCTACAAAATAAAAAACCTGTGTAAGGTATAAATTTCGTCATGGAGTCTTGCTAGCTATACATTTTTGCAAGTCCATGTATATTTAGGGGCATTCTGATGCCAGTAGTCTGTAGCAAGTTTCACTAATAATTCAAACACTATCCATCTCCAGTAGTTGAATCCACTACCAAATTAACAGGAGCTAGAGGAGCAATTTACAGCAATGGAAACCTGACAGAGGATCATTATGAGTTTGAACAGCTTAACAGCAGTGAGACTATGATGTGGATTTGAAAGACAGAAATTAGCATATAAGAAAAATATGATAATATTACTAGTCCCTTGGATAGAAATATTGACTTTGTTCCATAAAGTTCTTAAAGTGCTCTTATGAAAGTCACCTCTTATTTTCTTCATCAGAGATCTCTGAAATATGGAGAAGGTTTACCATTACGACTTCAGTAAAGAAATAGTTGTCATTTCAAAGCATCTAGATAGACCAAAATTACTGACCATGAGATAACACTTTCAAATAATTTACTTCAAAATCAGGTTGCCAAGGGAGCTCTGGTGGCCTAGGGGCAAGACGCTGCACTGCAATCCCAGAGGTATGTGGTTCAAATCCACCAGATGCTCTGCTGGAGAAGGAGGGGGCAATCTCCTCCCGTACCAGTCAGATCTGATTTGACGGTACACATAAAAATAATACAATAAAAATAAAAAAAAAATCAGGTTGCCTTAACACTGGAAAAAGGAGTTCCAGTGGTTTAGTGGTAAGGAATTGGCTACCAATGCAAAGGTAAGTGGTTCAAATCCACCAGCTGCTCTGTAGGAGAAAAAGAAACAGCTATAGATTGGTTTCAACTCAATAGTACACAATAACATGACCAGCACAAGAAAAGGGAGCTCTGGTGGCCATGTGAGAAGAGGATTGCACTGACAATCCAAAGGCATGTGGTTTGAATCCACCAGCTACTCCACCGGAGAAAGATAGGAAAATGCCTCCCATGTGATTGAAAGCTTCTGAAAATCCACTAAAGGGTCAGCTATGAATTGGTTCTGACTTAGTGGCACATAATAACAACAACATACCACTAGAAAATTTTAGCCTATTTGGTCCCAGCAAAGATGTTTATTTTCATTAGTTTCATAATAAAAGGTGAAAATGTAAACTTTTTCTTCTAGAATTTTTCTAACAACATACACATGTACCCACAAAGACTATACCAGGAAGTTCATCCCAGTACTATTTATAATATTTACAAGTCCACAAAAGTATATATGGCATCCTATCATTTGTGTAGGAACCCTGGTAGATTTACAGTTAAAGCAGCTGGATGCTAACAATTACGTTGGTGGTTTCAACTTAACAGCCACTCCTCAGGAGATTAGTTCACATCTGTAAACATTTATAGTCTAGGAAAGCCTATGGGCAGTTCTATTCTGCCCAAAAGGGTTCCAACTATGAGCTTGAATTGGCTCTATGGCACTGGGTTTGGTTATCACTTGTAAAAAAAGCAGGCATATTCACACAAACATATGTGAATGTGTGTAAGTATAGAATAATACAAAAGGAACTGGAGAGGGGAGACAAACATGAAAGAGTTGCTGTTGTTATGTGCCATCGAGTCCCTTGAGCCCTAAATGCCGGTCTATCTGTGCCAACCTTGCCGTTTCAAACACACTCATTCCCACCACTCCACTCAGAGAATCAATCCATCTCATCAAGGGTCTTCCTCTGCTGTGCTGTCCCTCCACTCTCCCAAACATGATATCCCTCTCCAAGGACCAGTCCCTCCTTGTAACATGCCCAAAGTATGTCAGATGAAGCTTCAGAATCCTTGACTCAAAGGAGCACTCTGGCTTCACCCTCTCCAGGGCAAACCTGTTTGTTCTCCTAGCAGTCCATGCTACATTCAACACTCTTCTCTAGCACCACAGCTCAAAAGCATCAATTATCTTTCGATCATCCCTATTCACTGTCCAACTCTCTGATGCATAGCACATAACGGCAAAGACTATAGCCCGGATCAGGTGCACCTTAGTCTCCAGCCTGACATCATTGCTCTTCAGTACTCTTGAGAGGTTCCTCACAGCTGACTTTCCCAATGCAGTTTGTCATCTGATTTCCTGGCTGCTGGTACCAAGAGTGTTGATTGTGGAACCAAGTAAACTAAAACTGTTAACTATCTCAATCTCTTCACCATCCATACTGATGCTGCCAATTGGCCCAGTGGTGAGAATCTTTGTTTTCTTGATGATGAGCTTCAATCCATATTGAAGACTGCAGTCCTTGACCTTCTGCAGCAAATGCTTCAGGTCCTCCTCAGTTTCAGCAAGCAAGATTGTGTCATCTGCATAACGCAGGCTGTTGATTCTTCCACCAATCCTGATGCCACACTCCTCCTGTACAGCCCAGAGTCTCGGATGATCTGTTCTGCACACAGATTGAAAAGGTATGGAGACAAAATACATCCCTGATGAACCCGCTTCTTGATTTTGAACCATCCAGTGTCTCCCTGCTCTGTTCTGTGGACTGCCTCTTGGATCACGTATAAGTTTCGCATTAGCACGATCAAATGTTCTGGAATTCCCATTGTTCTCAGAGTCAGCCACAGCTTGTGATCCACACAGTCAAAAGCCTTTGCATAGTCAATGAAGCACAGATAGGCATTCTTCTGGTATTCTCTGCTTTCTGCCAAGATCCATCTAATTTTAGCTATAATATTCTTTCTTTGGACTTTCATTCCATACATGTTACTATCCAATGCAAAAATAATTAAGAAAAAGTTTCATGAAGTGCAACTTAAAAAAAAGGATATAACTTAGATATCAAATAGACCCTAATTTAAACCCTAGCCCAATTGCTTATTTACCAAAATCTGAACTTGTTTGCTAATCTATCAAACAGGGAGGATGTATGTGAAAACCTGGAACAAACAAGGGCTTCTTTAAAAAGTGATTGAGAGGGAATTAAACAGGTAGAATTTTTAAGTGTACCAATATTTAGAAGATTTGCCTACTCTTTGCCAGGTAGCACTCAAGGCAGTTTTACATATATTGCCTTAGTTGATATTCAGAACAATCTTTTGAATTTAAACCTCATTCGACAGAAGAAAGAATGAAATCCTCTGGCTTGAGTACAAAATGTGGCAAAAAAATGAGAGGCTAATTAAGGCAACAATGAGGTAAAGCCCACCTGTGGAGACGGCAGCGGAAGTCGAGAAAAGATTAGGGTCAGAGTTGTAGCTTCCCTGGACACATTCACAGCTGCTTCATCTAGAGGAAAAGGAGGCAGGTGCCAACATTTCAGTGCTAAAAAGATAAGGCAGCAGCTGCTGCATAATCTTTAAAGATACTGCGTTCCCCTTTCACTGTGACCGGTTGAGGCATCTCAAAAACACCTCCCAAAATTAATGCTTTGTTTTTCTAACTTCTACGTGCTGAGGACGAGTAAGGTGAGGCTAAGAACTTCTACCTTCTACGGGGTGAGGATGAGTAAGGTGAAGTACCCCCATGGTGAGGATGAGGAAAAGGAAGGCATTCCACAGAGAAGAGTGGAGGGAAAGACGTTGGGACGCAAATCAAGGTACAGAAAGGCCCAAGGATAAATCAAAGAGGTAAAAGGGGTCCCGGACGAAGTAGCACTCACTGAGTCTTTTCCAAAACATCTCCCGATTAAACTCCTCGAGGTTCTCCTGGGCTTCGCCCACTTGTCGAGGTAGAGCGTGGGATGTGGTGAGAGAAAAAGCTGCGGTAAGCCAAGGTCCTTCTGGCTCCCCACCCCATCCTCCCAGATCCCCACCTCCGTTTTAGTCTGACTTCTTCCAATCTCATCCCTCCCTTCCATCGCCTGCCCGATGCGTCAACTCACCCCGAAGGCCAGGCAGGAGCAACCGCAGCCCCAGCGCCAAGTGCCCGAGCTGTTCCAAAGGCGGAGCCAGCGTGGGGTTGGAGGCTGCTGGGGCAGCCGTGCTCGCCATGTCAGCCGCCGGCCTGGAGACAGCAAACCCAGCTGTCAGAGACGCGAGGCGGAAGACACTTCACTTCCGCAAACAAGGAGTAGAGACTGTTTCCGGCAACAACTCTTCATGCTCCGCCCCGGAAAACTGGCCCCGCCCCCTCCCCGAGGCCGAGTCACGCCCCCACTGCTCTGAGAGGTTAGACCTTTGCTCCCAGGCCACCCCTCCCGACGCGAGGCTAAGCCACACCTCCTCCGGCTTCCTGTGGGTTAAGCCACAACATATCTGGTTGTTCATTAATTCCTTCCTTTTTATTTGATTATTTGAAAACATTAAGGAAGCAGAGTGTCACAGCCCTGCAGAAAAATAGGGCTAGGAGCGAATCTCTCTAAAGGCAGTTAGAGTTGGGACTTAGTGCCAAGTTCCTTGCCCCATATGTCACCCTTGGTAGCTGCTGAGTGACAGGCACTATACTTTGTGTTTTACGTGGGCTAACCCCAACATCTTGGTCCTCATATACTCCCACACATACACTCGGTCTGATGATACACTCTGAATCTACTAAATTAGGACTTTCTATTGACAAAGCTAAATCATCTTTTTGCCTCCTTGGGAAAGGAAACAATCACAGCATTAATTAGAGTTTTGTTTTTTTCTCTCCAATCCATTCTGCACCAGTCAGTAGTAGGCAATCCCTCTAAATACTGGTCGAGATGTCCAAAGAGAAGCAGTTTCCTGAAACTTCCCCACCAATATTGGCTTTCCACACGTTGCTGGTTCAGGACCCTGCACTGGGGGTGGAGACAGGAGCATGGTCCCCCTGCGGCTGCTGGGGCTGACTTCAGGAGGTCAGATGACTTTTTAACTGCACAATGAAGGTTCCAAGCTCCGTGAGGTGCAGTGTCCACACAGAACGAATGAGGATGGGTGTCAGAAGGGTCAACCAGGTCCGCAAAGGGGAGAATAAAAAAGCTAGGCTGCCGTATGTCACATGAAGAAAGTAGCAGGAATAAGCCTGCCAGATGTACAGTAGTAACATAAATACGTGAATCGGTATAATTTTCAAGTGTTTTCCTTGGTAGAGATGAGATCTAAAGTTGTGACCAAAGCAGCGCTGCAACAAGCTCCAACAGAGGTAGGCCATCAACGGGATGTTAAAAAACACCATCTGGAAAAAAAAACACAACAGAGCCATTCATTTATCATTAAGTTTTTAGAGGATAAGGTCTTGTTATTGTTTGACTGCAAGAATATGTTGCTTTCTATCCTTGGGGTTGTTGTTGTAGGTGCGTGGAGTCGCCTGCGGCTCATAGCTATCCTATGTATAACAGCCCTAAACCCTGCTCTATCCCTTGCCAATCTTATTATCTCCGACAATAAGTACTGTCGTATTACCCCAGAGCCGGAATCAATCCGTCTCATCAAGGGTCTTCCTCTCGTGCGCTGTCCCTCCACCCTCCCAAGCATGACATCCCTCTCCAAGGACCAGTCCCTCCTTGCAAAGTATGTCAGATGAAGCTTCAGAATCCTTACCTCCAAGGAGCAGCCTGGCTTCACCCTCTCCAGGAGGAACTTGTTTGTTCTCCTAGCAGTCCATGGTATATTTAATACTCTTCTTCTTCAGCACCAAGGCTCAACTGAGTGTGTGAGTGTGACAGAGAGAGAGAGAGAGTGTGTGTGTGTGTGTGTGTGATTTTTCAAGATGGCTATCTTAGCCTCTGGAACATGCAAGAAGTGTATGTAGATAACTAATGATAAGATTGCTCAGCCTTGGCATTCTGCCAGATTTAAATTGAGTCAGTTCAACAGCAAAAAAGAGGTGTCTGGCTACCACCAAGAAAGAACTGAGGGTCCACTGTGTATCCATATGGACCACCTATTTCCTCAAGAGTCAGACAACCAGAGGTGAGACTAAACTGAACCAGGACTGCTGCCCTATGGAGATGAGACAAAGCTGGAAGCCTTTACCTAAACTTGCTGGAAGACAGATAAAGAGATGCCATAGTTGGCAGAATAAGACAGCTTCATAACATTGGCCTAAAACATTGGAGGTCTGTGTCAGACTTCAGATTTGTATCCTGTTTCTAACCTGAACTATAATCTGTTAATTGGCCATAATCATGAGTATGGTCTGTGACTTCTGTGTGGGTACCACAATGATGAGTAAGCCCAGTAGTAGAGTAGCAAGAGCTCACAGAGGGACGATTTCTATTAGAATTGGTTGAAGAAGGTGAAGAGAACATGGAAGCATGTCTTGCTTCATGGGAATAGGTTTTGTATAGACCTGTACAATATAATAGATATATATAATAGGTGCTGTAGATTTTATGAATGGAGACTCATTCCCTTTGTGGAGTTAGTGGAGGTCAAAATCTACCACTGCCCCAATGCAGATTCCACTCATTATAGTGTGTGTGTGCCCCCCTCCCCCCACATATACTCATACTGTTTTAGGGTATGGTTGAGTGGGATTTAGGTATCTGAATTTTTCCCCCTTGTCTCTATATTTTTGTTTGAGACAGCATGATGAGTACTAGAGTGTAACTGAGAAGCTTTAAGTTATACTTCAAGTTTAGGTGCTATATGATTCATTCATTTAAACAAATATTTAAGGAGCATGCATTATGTGGAAGGCACTGTGCTAGGTTCTCAGCTATGGGCATATTGAAAAAAAAACCCAAGATAGGGCTTACATTTTAACAAGGGGAAGCGGGGGGCAAATTACAAATTCACCATGATTACAGACTGTGGTAAATTTAATGAAAGAAATAACTGGGTAACTAGAGTTGCTGGAAGATAACTTCTGCATATAGGAATGAGTCAATCGAGGGAAGTATATTCCAGACAGTAGGAACAAATAAAAGCCTAAGAGTGGAAGAGGTTTTGGCTTCTTTAAGACCAGTATGCCCGGAGTATGGTGAAACAGATGGAGATTACAGCAGGCAGCAGAAACCAGATCATTTCTCTGCTGTTTAAAGGCTTTTAATCTGAGAAATGAAAGAATTAATTAAAGTCTTAAAAAAGATTATATTGGATGCTTTGTAATGAACTGTCAGTATAGGGGAGCCTACATGCAAAGATTAGTTAGGGGTCATTATAGTAACCCAAACAAACAAGAATTATGTAAAGGTAGGTGGCAGTTTTATGTCAAACAGTCTTCTACATGGTAAAGCACTGATCTGTGCATTGTTGTACAGAGGTAACTCATGGTTGCTATGATTCTGAGCACTGTGACACTGATGGGCCAAATGTGATTAATGGTTACCCGTGGTGGACAGTGTTTGCTGGAGCTTCCTGATTAAAACAAGCCTGGAAGTAGGAGTGGCATCCACTTCTGAAATGGCTTGCCTCCGGAAACTCTATGAACAGTGCTCAGGCCTTTTGTTCATAGGGTCATTATGAGTCATCTACGACTCGACGGCACCTAACAACAACAACAGGTGGCAAAAGAAATGGAGAGAAGGATGGATTCCAGGTGTTGGAGGAGGTAAGCCAAACAGAAAATTTGATGATAGACTAAATAATATAGCACATAAGGGGATGACTAGAAGTTTCATCCTGGACAAACTGGGTGAACAGTTGGTGTCATTTATTGAAACTGGAAAATGTTAGGTAAAATACTTTTGAATTCTGTTATGGAGATTGTTATGGATCATGGCTCTTTTGTATATTTGCTTGTTTTAAGGGAATCTTAATCTAAATGTAAATTTGATGCATGTATTTTCCAAGCAAGGATCCTGCTAAGGCATCACTGGAAAACCCAGGTCTGGTTTTGCCGAGTGCTGTTTCCATTAGATAAATAACCCACTTTTCTTGTGTGTCATTTAATTTTACATTCCTCATGAAACATTTTCATTCTTCCTTAATCATAATCAATTTTAGTTCACTCAGAACACTATATTTTGTCATAAATTCCTTATTTCATTTTGTAAATGAAAAAATAACAAAAATATCTTTCATGTTTAACAACTGTTGTCTTCCAAAAAGATATTTATATTTCATATTTATAAAAATTGAAGAAAATCTTTAGGAAGCATATTAAATACAAGCACAATGCTAGTTTTTAAAGAATGTCAACTAGAAAAGTTAATCTGATATTTCATTTGGGGTTTTGGATTTAATTCATAACTATAACACAATTAGTCCAACAAAACCAAGATATTAAATTGCATTTCTAACTTCTTACCTGGAGAATTCCAACTATAAATGTTAGGCTGCCTTGTAGAAAATGTCCATCAACAAAGATCCCAAAAGAAAAGCAACAACCCACTTTTCCTGTAATGATTTCACCAATAAACCATGGTCCTATAGGAACAATGGATAGGAAAAGAGATTAAATAACTATAACTCTAAATACATATATCTATGAGATATATTTATAGGAGTAATGAAGATATATGGAACTAAATGTAAATAAGCATTTCATTTGCAGTTTTTCTTCTGTGTTAATGTCTATGTTGCATTGGATATCCTAACTACCCATCTTATTATTTGCTTCCTACCACCATATTTCCCTGGATTATAAAAGCTAATCATGGGATTGGTATCTACTATGTAGCACCCAGAAATATAGTGGAAAACTTTTATTTGTATTTTATTATAATAAGAAATTAATTTTAAAACACTATTGTTTGATTTTTAAGAACCAAAGATCAAAATATTTCACCTAAGTTTATTTCCAGATAATTGAGATTTACTTCTTTCAGCAATACAAAGAAATTTTAACCACTTTCTGATTTTCAGAAATACTTCTGGAATGTACTTTTATGTACTTTTGATTCTTAGTAACACAATGAATCTATTTTAATCTTTTCTCCAAGAACTATGGTCATTATTTATATATTAGCTATGTACTTACTTATAACATTTACTAAGTTTCATATGCTTCTTTAATTTTTCAGCTAGCATGGCATGTAGTCGTGTACTTCTTCCTATAATTTACTGGCCCTTCTCAATGTGCAAGTTTCGGGAACTACTGTATTGTCACAGTCATACACAGATCCCAACTTTTCAAAGTCATATGAAATTTTTCTCAGATACATAAAACCCCCTTAGAGACATACTTGACTAAAAAATGTTTTTCCCTCAATAAATTTCAACTTTCTGTGAAGCAACTTCTGTCCTTTAATGTTTTCTTTAACAGATCAAAACCCAGATTTTATACTTTGTGACAAGTGTCTTGAACCTATCTTCTAACAAGAAAACTTACCTCCAAAGGGTAATTTGCCATAGTGTGTTGCGAAGAACTGTGAAGAATCATGTTTCTAATTTAGTATCTTTACTTTCTTTTCTCTGATAGGAGTTACTTATGGAATAAGAAAAGTCCAAAGGTGGAATTAAAGATGAAGAACAGACAAAAAATAGGCTAATCTACACCTAATTAACTGGCTTTTAACCACTAAAGAACATTAAAACAAAGGCCTAAGAGACCTCCAGTGCTTTCTGTTCCATAAGTGTCTACAGCAGTACTGAGTATAATAATTAATAATGCAACAGAAATGCTTAGACAGGCCTGAACTCATTGTTCATCTCACTTTCTCTTTTTTGAGATCAGCTTTTGGAATACTTATTAGAAGATATTAATTCACTGAACTACTTGTGGATATTTTTGGGCACAGAAGGTAAATAAGATAGGGAAGAATAAAATGGCTATTTTAATGAAATGATACATAATAAATAAGATAATCATAAATTCTGATAAGGGTATTGAAGGAAGTAAAAAAAGCATGATAAAATAGAGGGTAAGAATTGAAGGCAAGCAAAGTGGGCTATCCCAGGAAGGTGGCATTGAAGTTGAACTTCTGTCTTCTATTAGGTTCCTTTATATATTCTTTATTTCATATATTCTTTATATATACTTATTTTATACTTTATATATCAACTATGTACTTAAGTATAGCATTTACAGTTTCATATGCTTCTTTAATTTTTATATATTATATATACAAATACCAACTATTTAACCATCTTTTTGGCATCCTATGTTAACTTGGTGCCAACTAAAAGTCCTTTAACATGTTAGAAAGAATGCTGAAAAACTATGGTGTATTCACACAATGGAATACTACACAGCACTGAAAAACAAGGAACTTCATAAAATACTACACAACATGCGTGACTCTGGGGGACATTATGCTAAGTGAAATATCTCAGTATCTCAGTCACAAGTGGACAAATATTGCATAACACTACTTTAATAAAACAAGACTGACATGAGGGTTGAGGGGAAACTAAGAAAAGAGGCAATCAATTATGAACACTGCATTGGAACAGATGAAGGAAAGAACTATTTAAAAGGAATGTATGATTAGGCATTATTTGTATGACAACAGTCCAGAATAAGAGTGGCATAGTGAAGTAGACTGGGGGCCGGAGGGGGTGGAAATTATGCAACAATGAATTTCTTTTTTAAGAAAAACAGAAAGAAAACTAGGGGGTAGGGAGGGAGGAAAATATGCATCAATGAATGAATGAAAAATCCAAGTTTTCTGTAAGTTTTCATTAAAATCACATTTTATAAAAGGGAAAAGAACTGCTTTTTAAAAGCATGTTCCAGAAAATTATTTATGAAGCATCCATGTGCAGTTCATTATGCCCTCAAGAGCTCGAAGACCTCTAATGACAAAAATGATACAATTTCAAGTTTCCAAATGTACTTACCAAGCACTGTATATAGGGTCAGTAATAACATTGAATAATAGAAGATGTTTATTTTACTCAAGACATGAAGGGAAAATGAGGTCAGATTTATAAATCCTGGAGGTCCTGAACAAAATAAATTTGAAAAATTCAGTGAACACATGCAGAGTTCAATTTCTTCATAAAATTTTCTAGAATACTCCTGTGGGTTTGCTATATAGTCAACAAAACCTTGTTACATGGTAACTATATACAGATGGTCCCACTTTAAATTCTGAAGTTGGTACAAATCCTGGTATGTCAATTCATTTACAATTTCAGAGGGCAAATGTTTAAAGAAAAGATATAGTTATATGTGTATAGATATATCCATATATAGATACAAGGAGCTCAGGTGACTTCATGGATAAGGAGTTGCAATGCTGATCCAGCGGTAATGCACCAGTGGCTCCAATGAGTAATTTATAGCCTCTTGCAAATCCACTGGCAGGTCAGCTCTAAGTTGGTTCCAACTGGACAGCAATGAACAGCAATGTGGTATATATGGATATAAGAGCTCTTTTGCCATGGTGTGTTATGTGTTGTACCACAAACTGAAAGGTCAACAGTTCTAATCTACTTTCTCAGATTTATAGCCTCAGAAACCTGTAGGAGGGTCACTATGAGTCAGAACTGATTCAACTTCAATGCATTTAGTTCTTCAGCTTGTTTTATATAGAAATATAAGTAATACAAATGAAAATGCTAAACATGATCTTCTAAATTCTGGCAGGTCTTTATCTACTTTATCTTCATGTATGTTTTAAAAAGCTTTGTTGAAAGGAAAATTAAATTCTGTTTCTATGGAATTTAGAATCCAAATGTATAACATATCCCTAAAATATACCAAATGAAAATAAAAATATCTTCAGTCAAACAATGTATATATAAATAACATATGCCAATTCAGTAATTTCTATATATTTTTAGTTGTACCAGTTCAAAGTTGTACTACCACCCTCATTCTCTTTTTTGAATTGTTCTTTCCCATCAACATAAATTCACTAATTTGTTAAATACCCATTTCTCGTCTAATCTGTTGAGTTGTTACTATTAATTTGACCCCAGATAAGTAGATCTTAAAACAACAAAATGCTCATGTCAGACACACTTTATCAGTCAAGCTCTAAAGACTTCAGGGGATATTTTTGGACTAAGGTTTAAAGCTATCTTAGGACAGTAGTTTCAAGAGTTCATCTAATCTCCACTGTTCCAGAAAGTCTAGATGCCATGAGATTTCTGTAGTCTAATCTTAAATATAAGTATCCATACATATTACTTTCATGTAACTGAAAGAGCTTTTATCTTCTGAATCCAATTCAAAGGGATCCTAAAGCTCTCCAAATTAACATCCCCTAAAATACAGTGCTCCAGAACTCCAGAATAAGAGCTTGACACAGAGAAGTCCATTCTGTGACCACTCACTAAAGTACTACAGATATTTGACCCCAATAGCCATTATGACTCACACATGTAGTTGATTATAAACCAGTCTGCAAAAGACTGTAAAAATAAACTTAATGTATACTGAACAACAATAGAAATTAGAAATGTTTAAAAATCTTGTCTCAGTGGAAGATAGCCATAAATAAGTTAGGTCTTTGATAACAGAGCAGCATATTCACTATATACTTAAAATATTGTTCAGTTAGTTTAGGTCATACAAAGTCTAAGAACAGATGCACCTTCTCACATTGTGTTACATATTTGCTACTTATTCCTTTGATTCTTTTTGTTCTAGCCTTATACTTAGTTAAATTTTAATCAATATATTCAATAATAACAATTATTTATTAAAACAAACTTTTAGCCTGATAGGAAACTATGCTTTGCTAGAATGGAAAGCAAAGATTCTCTTCTCTGGCTGCACATTAGACTTCTAAGATAATCTGGGGAATGTTAATGCCAAGCTTCTGATTTAATTGGCCTGGGGGGATGGGGAAGAGAGAGAGAGAGAAAGGGAGCTAAGACAGCAATGTGGGTGATTCTTAGCAGGCAGAGCTGAGAAACAGCATTTTAGACAGAACAGTACTTCTCAAGTTGACTGTACATTGGAATCATGTGGGTAGCTTTTGGAACAGCAACAACAAAACCAAAAAAAGGTGATAAACTAATTCCCACAGATTCTAATGTAATTGGTCTAGGGTGCTATGTAGACTCTGAGATCTAAAAATTTCCTTAGAACTTTAAGATGCAGCAGCCAAAATTGAGAACTGTTGTTTAGAGGAAGTAACTGACCTCAAGTCAGAAGGTCAGAAGACAGGTTTTGCATCTCTCTTGTCTCTTACTAGCTATGATACATTAGACAAACTATCACTTCCCTAAGCCTTAATTTTCTAATCTTTACAATGGCAACCATTAAGTGAGATAATACATGCAAACTATATTGTGACTTTTAAATAATAACTATATAAAAACATTGGTACTCCCATATAATGTGTACAGGGCCCTTAAATATTTATTAATTGCATTATGTGCAAGAAAATCCACATGTATGAGAGGGACCTCTTGAACTTTCTCACATAATTTTAAAAAATAAATACAAGCAGGGAAACATTCAGTAGTGTGGACAGTATGCATTTTGTTAACTGTCTTCCATTTAAGTGTTTTTACTGTTTAATGAAATACAGAAAAGAACTGTTCCACCCTCTTCTTCACTCTTCTACTGTCAGTATATGATAACAGGGATCTCATTCAACTTAAGAAAGTATAATTCAACAATTTCTTTATTGTCTGTTATCTATATACATCAGTGCTGATGCTGTTGGAAATATAAAAGGAGCAACAGAATTCCTACTTTGAGGAGTTTACAATCTGAAGATTGTATATGGATAAAAATGTGTATATATTTGATGTGAATTTAGATGATTGAAAGTATGAAAGTAATAGAGCCAACTAGAAAGATGTAGAGAAGTTAGATCTCATCATGACTTGGAATGGTATGGGAAAAGAAGACTTAAGTTGAATGCTAAAGGAAGCTATGATTTAAATAAATTTAGTAAAATAACTTAAATCAGAGACAATAACAGGGGGAAAAGCAAAAACAAAAAAAATAGAAAGCATGGTATGCTAAGAAACTATCTACCTTGAGATACTTAATTGGTGGAAGAAAAGGCTAGTTGGGTAAGAACAGATTGCAGATGGTCTTTAATTCTGTTTGTCTGATCTTTATTCATGAGATCTAGCGACCCTATGAACAAAAGGCCTTTCTGTAACTCATCGTTTCTCCAAGTTTATAGTTTCCAGAGGCATGTGGTTTAGGAAGTGGATGCCACTCTTGCTTCCAAAGACAAAAGCAGTAGGCTTTGTTTTTTTAACACAGATATGTTTATAAAGATATATGTTAGTAGAAAAGCATAATTGAATAGGAAAGCATATTATTCTTGTCTAGATATATTGATGGGAAGCTTCACTGTTCCAATAGACCATTAAAAGCACTACTATCCAAGGTAGAATCAACTTAGGTTTACTAAAGAGAAAATGGAAATAAACAGCAAAAGACCTTTATATTTCAAAACCATGCCTATAAAGGCTTGGAAAATTATTCTAGCAGCAATCAGCGATGACCTGGTAAATCTTTATTTAGTTCCTCCAAGGGATGAAATTCAGTGGACTTCACAAATATTTATGGAGCATCTTCAGTGTACTGAGCATCAAAGCAGGCGTTTACCTGGTGTCTAGGGTGCGTGAGGGAAGATCTGATGCTCAGAATAAATTCTTCAGGTATCTGGGATGAGGTGTGATTGTGAGTATGGACAAATATTCCCCTAAATTTCAGCTTCCAAACAGTGGGGAAGAATAGGAAGAAAGTTGGCTAAGGAGCAGAGCCCTTCTGATGCTCGTTAGGCCTATTTTAAACTTCACATTCCTCTAAGAGTGGCTGGTTGTATATTAATAACTATCAATTAACTTTCATTTTTATTGATATATTACCAGATTGTAGGAAGGGAACATATCCAGATACAGATATCTGTTGGGAGAGACAGAGAGTAGTACAGGCAAAGTCACTTTTATAATGTAACTAGAGCTTTCTCTATATGTATAATTCAAATTTTGAAATGTACCATTTATTTAGGGGCCTTGGGGGCCTCGCATAAAAAGCTGCACTACAGTCTCAAAGACAAGCAGTTGAAATCCAACGGATGCTCTGCGGGAGAAGGATAGGCAATCTCCTCCTGTGCGATTGCTTCTGAAAACCTGCTGGAGGGTCAACTGTGAGTGGGTTGCAACTTGAGGTACACAGCAAAAACAACCACTATATTTAATTGGTTAAGTTGTATTTGATATTTGTAGTTATTTGAACAAATAGGTTGCTAAGTTAGATTACATAGTTACTTATATTTAAGGCAAGGAACCTTGGCTAGTGTGTTGAATTGGGCTGCTAGCTAAAAGATCAGTGGTTTATGCACACCCATGTTTACTGCTGCTTTGTTCACAGTATCAAAGAGTTGGAAACAACCTAAATGCCCATCAACAAAGGAATAGATAAAGAAGTGATGGTATATTCACACAATGGCGTATGAAGAAGCACTGAAAAACAAAGAACTCATGAAATATACAAAATGAGTGACTCTGAAGGACATTATGCTGAGTGTGATATCTCAGTCACAAATAGACAAATACTGAATAATGCCACTGTTATAAAACAGGATTGATATGAGGGTTGGGGGAAAACTAGAAAAGAGGGGATAAGTAATGTACAGCTTTGAAACAGACATGACAGGAGTCCAGAATAAGAGCTGCATAGTAAAGTAGCCTGGGGGAGAAGACTGTATAACAATGAAATAGAAAAAAACAAACTCTCAAATAAAAACTCAATAAAAAAAAAAAAAAAAAAAGATCAGTGGTTTGAACCCAGCAGAGGCTCTGAGGAAAAAAGACAAGCAGACTCCTTCTATAAGGGCTTACAGTTTTGGTAACCTGGTGGAGGGCTGCCACGAGTCAGAAAAAAAATTGATAGCAGTGGATTTGGTTTCACGTTTTTTACTATCAAAAGTTGGTCACTTTGATCTACACCATGGTTTATCCTTCCCATTTTATTTGAGCCTCATACTGCACCCAGGTAGCAGTGAAACATGTATTTTTCTTTTTCTTCTTCAAGAAACTAGTACTGTGAAACTAGTATAACAGTTTGAAGAACAAAATTCACAAAGTTATTATCGACTGATTTATTTATCATTTAGCATTCGTGAGGATATTATGTAACAGCGTTAAAATCAAGTATTCTAAGAATTAAAGGAACTATGACTAACCTTTAAATGCAGGATGTCCTCGAAATCTAAAAATAAGAAGAATTGTAAGCTGGATCAGCACAACCACCACAAAAAGCACCCGGGCCTGGGGAGACACAGACATCAGTAGGAACAAACATGAGAACAACATCAGTTATTTCTTAAAAGTAATCACTAACAAAAATGGAAATTAAATTATTGACAAAAATGACTATAAGAAAAATACATAAAGAGAATCAAGCATTTAATCTACTAAAAAAGAAAATTTTATGTTTCTTTAGTGCTATTCTTTCAGAATTTACTTAGATTAATGTTGCAAATAAGTGATTTTATAAAGTTATATTAAATGTACAAATGAAAATAGCCCACTTTCCTTTTACTGAGATAAGGATTGGGAATCTCCTCTCCTGTGACTAATTAACTGCCTCTGAAAACCACTGGAATGTCAGCTATAGGTCAGTTCCAACTTGACGGCACACCAAAACAACAAAAAAATGAAAGTTTAAAATACTGTCTAATCGAGGAGTAGGAGAGGAGAGGAGGAGGAGGTGATGGCGATGCACCTGGGGAGGGGGAGACTCCCTGTCTGGCTGAGGCACCACCCGGGCCAGGGTGACTCTTCCAGGACGTGAGTCAGCAAAGAAAAGAAAGATCAAACAAAACTGAGGAATCAACAAGGAAACCCTGGGAAGCACTGAATGCAGCAAAATAAGAACAATGGATCTCAAATTCAACAACTCCAGGAAATATATTTCCATTACTGTCCCTTCCAAAACCCAAACAATGTCACCACAAATCAAGTCAGTAGATGACATCATGGTAATTGGCATAAATCTCAGCAGATTTAACAAGCTTACTCAGTTTTTCATCTGTGTTGCTGGTATTTTTGTATTTTATCTTATTTATGGATATTTACAGGAACTAATATTTTCAGTATAGGGTTTTAAGCCCTATGGCTGGTACCTTACATTAGTGCAGTTTGGGTTTTACTCCATATTTGACCTACTAGAACTTCAGCTTATTCAGAACAAACAAAGAAGAATACCAGGAAAAACCTACATGATAATAGCTTTTCTAACTGTGGGTACTATGGGGTTATCAAACACTTCCTTGGGCTACCTGAATTATCCTACCGAAGTCATCTTCAAGTGCTGCAAATTGATTCCTGTTATGCTAGGAAGAGTTTTTATCCAAGAAGTACCTGGAAAGCCTCATTTTAAGTTTTTCTGTGCTCTCCTCTTCTGTGATAAAAATGGACAAAAATGGAAAATTCTCAGATTGAAGTAAAAATTAATCTACACACAGGACCTTGTGGACTTAGTGACATCTTAGATTCCGGCTGAGTTACAAGCTAAGTAGAAATATGAATAAAAGAGATGATGATGATGAAAGCAGAGGAATACCTCTTTGTTCCTATTAATCATCATGGAGAATATTCCTGTAATTGAGTCTTTCTTCTACACTACTATTGTGCTTACACCCCTTGACTTTTATACATTAAATACCTTCCCAAATAAAGTCTTTTAAAATGAAAATTAAAAAATACTGTCTAATCACTGCTAATAGTCAATATTATACATTTATTGTATACTGTAAAAAGATATACACACTCTCATGTAAGTAAAGAGAGACTGTATTTTCTTTTGCCATCAAGAAGTCATTCACTTGAAGATTAATTTATAGTACAGACACATGTGATTCTATATGTATCTCAAGATACAAAGATACAGACCAACTGCCCAGACCATCACTGAAATCACCTGGAGGCTGTCAAACATGAAGAATCTCAGGCCCCACCCTAGAATGAATTAAATTAGAATCTGAATTTTAATAAAATGCTCTGTTGATTCCTACATACATTAAAATTTATAAAGCTGACTTCATGTAACTTGAAAATCCTCAAAACCAAAATAAAGGATAAAAAGAAATTATAAAATGAGATATAAAAGTTTTTCAATCTAATTTTTTTTTAAAAAAAGGTCAATAATCATACACCAGAGAAGTAAGTTGAAATGACAATGAATGTACTTTTAAAGTCTGTAGGGATATATACCAGAGTGAACAAAGATGGATGTTTCTGGGAAGTGCAATGAAAGAAAGTCTATTTAAGACCAGCTCTGGTGGCCAAGTGGTAAGGAGTTGTGTCGCCAACCCAAATGCATGTGGTTCAAATCCACCACCTGCTCCACAGGAGATAGATGGCCAGTCTCCACCAGTGCAATTACTGCTTCTGAAAACCACTGAAGGGTCAGCTATGAGTCAGTCAGTTCCAACTCAATGATAAGATGTTTATATTTTATGTTCATATGCAGGATAGGTGAGATCTGAGGGAAATAGGAATATAAATTGCCACAATGTCTCTGGAAGAGTCCTCGATAATGTACATTAAAAACTTTTTAAAACATCCATTTGTTATTTTTTGTTATGTGCTATTGAATTGCTTGTGACTCATTCTGACCCCAAGTACAATAGCTCTAAATTCTGCTCTATTCTGAGCCAATCTCACTGTCTTTGACACACCTACCCCCATCACCCCAGTCACTGAGTCAATCCAGTGTCTTCCTCTCCTGCACTGTCCCTCCATCCTCCCAAGCATGAGGCCCCCCTCCAAGGACTAGTCCCTCCTTGCAACATGTCCAAAGTATGTCAGACAGAGCCTCAGAATCCTTGCCTCTAAGGAGGAGCCTGGTTTCATCCTCTCTAGAGTGAATTTGTTTGTTTTCCTAGCTGTCCATGGCATATTCAATACTCTTTTCCAGCATCACAGTTCAAAGGCATCAATTCTCTTTCTATCATCCCTCATCATGGTCCAGCTTTCTGATGCATAGCAAGTAATTGTGAAGACGACGGCCAGAATCAGGTCCACCTTACTTTCCAGAATGACAGTGTTGCTTTTCAATACTCTGGAGAAGTCCCTGACAGCAGATTTTCCCAACGCAATTCATCTTTTGATTTCCTGGCTCCTGGTATCAAGAGTGCTGACTGTGGAGCCTAGCAAACTGAAGCTGTTAACAATCTTTTCATCATGATGCTGCCAATTGGCCCAGTTGTGAGAATCTTAGCTTTTTTGATGTTGAGCTTCAGTCCATATTGAAGGCTGCAGTCCTTGACCTTTTGCAGCAAGCGCTTCAGGTTCTCCTCAGTTTCAGCAAGCAAGTTGCATCATCTGCATAACGCAGGTTGTTGATGAGTCTTTCTCCATTCATTTACTAAAAAAAAAGTTATTCAGAACTTACTACTATGTGCTGCAACACCAAACAGAAATTCCTCATCCTCATGGAGCTCACAATATAATAAGGGAGGACCGACAGAAAGCAATGAATAAGTAAATTACGGTAAATATGTATAAGTAAATACATATATAGAGTAGTACTTTGTTGTTGTTGTTATGTGCCATCAAGTCGTTTGCGACTCATAGCGACCCTATGTACAACGGCCCTAAATTCTGTTCTGTCTTGTGCCAATCTCACTGTCTCAGACACACTCAACCCGATTACCCCAGTCACCGAATCAATCCATCTCCTAGAGGGCCTTCCCCTCCTGTGCCTGCCCTCCACTCTCCCAAGCATGATGTCCTTCTTCAAGGATTGGTCTCTCCTTACAACATGACCAAAGTATGTCAGATGAAGCCTCAGAATCCTGGCCTCCAAGGAGGCCTTGTTTAACCCTTTTT